CATATAGGTTTTGAAAACTTCGCTATTTTCCAGATTATATTTCGGTGCTAAATCTTTTAGAAGTTCGCGAAAACCACCTCCATCGACGAAGTTAAATGGTAAATTTTGAAGCACTATCATTCTTACAATAAGTTTACTTATCCTTTTGTTACTGTTTCCGGAATTTGAAGTTTCATCTGAAAGAAAACCAAACGTTTGATTTTTTAAAGTCACAATATAACAATAGATAATTATATTCCCGCAGATCACCTTGGCGGGAAGAGTTGCCGGATGCTCCGGGGTGAAGTTGTAGTCCCTCATATCGCGTTTGTGTTGGATGGTTAGCTGAAACAAAAATTAATAATTCAAAAGTCACAGAGCAAGGCTGAATCGAAGCTGAGTGTATAGTTTAGTTATAAGGCGGCTAGTGAGCATCGTCGTTGCAATTTGAGCGATTATTTCCGGGAGCTCAGTTATTCAGCAAGCCAACTTCATAAGAGTTTTTGTTTAATGTTTAATGATAAACGTAAAACAATGATAAAAATAATTAATTCAGAGAGGTAACGAGTGCAACCTTATTTCGTAGTACTTTTACTCGATGTGTTGTACGTGGCACATCCGTACAGGGTTATACGTACCTACGTACAGAGTTATACCAAGATCATCAAAGAGTTTGATGGTATCTATAATTTCTTTCTGTCACATTGTAATAATCTGTAATAATCCGTGATGTATGTGTTGTAAATTGAAAGAAATATCATGTAGTAATTACCTCCTCTAATGTGACTTGTACAGTGCGGGAGTGGCTTGGAGAAAATATTTAAAATTACTGGAGTATGATCTGATGACAGGGGTCGACAATTTTCAATCTCTAAATAATTTTCGCCAAAGTTCCTCAAAATGTAAAAGTCTAGTAGATCTGGATGTTTATTTAAATCTGCTGGCCAGTATGTGGGTTCTCCATGAGAGATATATTCAAGATCGAGGTCCTGAATGGCCTTGTAAAGATTTTTACCTCTACGGTTTGTCAACCTTGATCCCCAGAAGGTATGCTTGGAGTTCCAGTCTCCTCCGCAGATAAATACGGTACCCAGTTGGTCAAAAAACAACTTAAATTCTTCAGTATCAATTTTGTACTGCGGGGGACAGTAGATTGCGGCAAGAGTCGTAAGAGAATTTTTGCAGAATAGTTTAATTGATGTTGCCTGAATCTTTTCTGTTTTGTATGGTTCTAGAAGGTAATGCTTTCTGTGATTTTTCAGAACTACTGCCGTCCCACCTTGAGAATTTCCAGAAGGATGATCAGTTCTATAGATTGTGTAGTTGAGAAAAGTTACTTGTGATTTGGGTTTCAATTTTGTTTCAGATATCAGAGCAACATCAATACTCTCTTTGTTCATAAATAACTCAAGTTCTTCTCGTCGGTCGGTCAGCCCATTGGCGTTCCAGATGATAATGCGCAGATCTAATCCCTCTTCCGCCTTCACTTTTTCGGAATGTGAATTACGCTTTGCAGCTTCAAGATCGTCTTTGAAGACTTCGGTTTTGTTCTGAACAGGAATTGTATTATTGCTTTGTCTCGTGTTGTCCTGTTCGTTGTTATCCTTTTGTGTTTCTACAATGTTCGTTTGACGTACTAGATTATTAAAATCTGCATTTTGCGAATGCATTATATCATTGCTCAAGCAATTAAATCCTTGGAGAAATTGTTCTATATATAAATATATTGGGAGATTATTTTCATTATTTTAATACCCACGAATATGGACTCAAAATCTCCGAATGAGAAGAGGCATTTGTTCAGCAATGGGCACACATATGATGATGATGATGATTATGATGACGAATTTAGTTAATAATATATTTTACCTTCAAGCGCTTCTCTTTTCTTCCTATCCATGAACGAAATGTACTCGGTATTGTGAAAATCCGTTATGTGTTGCTTCATAGCAGCATGGGAATTGTCGCGGTATGTCTTTTTACAATATAAGCACTGGGCCCTCTCTGGATGATCTTCACTTGTTTTGAAAAAATTCCATACAAAACTTGTTCGTGTCCACATTTTTATTAATATTCACTTTTCTGACACGCTTACACTATTTATAATATTATGACACGATTAAACAAATTGATTCAACGACAACAAAAATTAAAATGTCTAATCAGCCTAAAACAATTTATTTTCTTATCATATAAGTCGGCCTACAGTCTGATAAGTCAGATAATACTTTTATTATATATTTGGCACTGTAGTCTCCTTGCATTTTACGACATGTTCATGCCTTAGTTTTATTTATTTTATGCCTTAAACTTTGCGTGTAAGACAATAATAAGCACACGCAGTGCACTTATTTGTCGTTACGGTATGTATGTTCGGTATAAAGAAGAACTTTATTTCTATCGCGGCGTCGCTCGCGTTCACGTGGTATACAAAGTAGACAATGTGTTATTCCCACAGAACATATGTATAAAGAAGGTTTATTATGTTCTGTGGATATTCCACACTAATCAAAGTCCAAGTCAAGACAAAATCATTAATTTCAATTTTTTTTATATATTTGATGGGGCGACGTTTGATCACTATCTCACCTGATGGTAAGCGATGATGCGGTCTACGATGGAGCACGTCGTCCCATAAGCAACCTATTCACTCGGGCCTAGAAGACTCCCAGGTTATACCCTTCAGGAAATACAGACTCTGGCAAAGAATTCCACTCTTTAGCAGTACGCACAAGGATCAATTAGACCAGGATGGCACTGTTGAATGTCTAATAATCTATCCTCGCTCCAAATTGTACCCTGATCTCTTTAGCCGTATTGACGTGATTATCGTACTCACAAACTTTTGCATTTATAATATTAGATAAGATAAAAACATAACAGTCTGTTTACAATGAACTTGTTTAACGAAACATTTAATAATTTGTTTGCAATGAATTCCTGTTGAAACGATTAATCAGTAATATGCTTTTTCCATATATTTATTTCTGCTGAAACAAGTGAATTTATTTCTGCAAATACGCTACAAGAAAGCACTTCTACACGTCAATTTTATCAAGCGAACGATGAGGCCGACATTTCCTAACTTTCCTACTCGGAGAAGAAATGCCGAAACCAACTCAGAGGTCCGTCTCTTTTAAAGTCCAGACAAATATGTATGAAAGATATGTGTGAGAACCGTGCAAGTTCATTCTGTAGTGGCCTTTTGAGGAAAGAACCATAACAGAGCTCAAACGCAACGTACGCGTGTGTCGGTTTACAATCAGCTCAATTAACAGGTGAGGCTGACTGATCCGACGAACAATACCAACCTAAAGAACATTTGAGTGGGTCGCACAACCACTAACTGTCAGAATATGGGTTAATCAGGAGAGAAAATGGCGAGGCAAAGTCTCGCACGGTCCTTGCACTAACAATGGTAAAAGTAAATTAAATAAATTAACTAATGTCAAGGAACTAAAAAAAGAAATGTCAGATGAAAAACAATCTCACATAAAATAGTAATGTAATACTTTTTTATAACATCACGCCTTTTACCCCCAAAGAGGTAGGCAGGGGTGCACATTACGGCACTTTACGCTGTCCAATAAAACACCCACTTTTCACTATTTATGTCATGAATCCCATGTAATATGGGGCTATTGCCATATACCAGGCACAATTCCAGACTCCGTGCTACTACTGAGAATTTTATTTTTATAAATAATATCGAATTGTATACAAAAAAATGTAACTATATGTTACAAACATGTCAACATAGCCTGTGAGGACCTTACATCTGCTTATTCCCAAGTCAGACTGTCATCTAAGTAGTCTTTTATTTTATAATAAGCTTCACAATAGAGTTTACCTTGTAGGATACTTTTAAATTGCTTTACGCCCAAATTTTGAATATCACTGGGCATCTTATTATAAAAGCGTATACATTAACATCTAAATTTTGATGTTGTACTGTCGTTACATCGTTCTCACATATATGTATATACATTAGGTAAAGGATCAGATAATGTATCAATGAGACTGTGAAAATATTTGGAGTTTCTTTCTCGTTCTTTTCCATTCGAACCTAGTTTGGAACGAGCTTCACTGACTGACAGACGGACAGACAATTCAATTTTTGATGTTTCAAAAGTGCCTAATTATGGATTAATTGAAATCGAATTGAATCCTTTGACTTTGACTTTCACATCTAAACGAACCACTTATTTTCTGAAGCCTAGAAGCCAACATATTTGTTTTTATTACTTGTATTGATTGGTATTATGTATGTCACTATACTTTTTAAATAAACTAATGTTTTTTGAGTACTTGGAAAGAAACCTAAAAAATTCACGCGGCCGTAGGCGTAAAGTTACTATATTATATGTATCAATCATCTAATGTGCAACCGGTGTAAATGGTCTGCTTGTCACACGACCCCATCTCTGCACATCCGCAGCTAATGTGATAAAAGAGAGAAGTAATGGCCCATGGGTGGTCTTAGGGTGCGCCACTCATTTGGCAAATTGTCCAAACTCATAGAATTTTTTATAGGCACTTGTATCATGGGCGCCCGGAGTAATGTCTACCATTACAACGTTGCATCTCTCTAATGAGATGTTATATGGAAACTTCCAGATGGTGATGATGTATTATTGTTCTTAACTACCTCGAGGAAGGTCGCCAGTATGACTGTCGAACTAGGTCTTAATTCAATTCCTGGGTGTCACACTGTTCAATGTGCATTACGTGGCATTAGGTCCTTTGATGATTAAAGGAAGGTGACGTAACTTTTAGACTCTAGTAATTTGTAGTAGAGCATTTTCTGAATCGGTACCTATTGATGTTAAAACAAACATATTACTTAAAACTATCGAACTAGTTCAATAAATTAATTAGATAAGAATTGGATATTAATAAAAGTACAAGAAATAATATTATTATGTAATACTTATATTAATTACCTAAATAAATTAAACTTAAAATCACAATTAACGAAAGCACAGCACCAGCTACCTCCTGCCATCCACTGTATGAAGAGGTTAGTGCGAGTGAGAGTGGGAATGCTTCGAAAGGCTGCAGATGTAGCACCCGAAAATGAAGTTCCCTGGCGCATCCTGGTCCTCAGTCACGAAATACTCCTTCCACAAGTGCTGGAACTCCGCAAAAGAGACGGTCTGCTTACCCTTGGCCATTTTATGGAAAGCCTCCACAGACTCCTCCTTATCCAAACCAAACGACACATATACAGAGGAGAACTCCTCGACATCGATGGCTCCGTCGTTACTGGCGTCCTCTAGCTCGAAGATAAACTTGCAGTACAGGTTCTGCCACTCAGCAGCAGCCGAAGGGTTCTTGGCGTACTGGTCCCACATTTCAATCCACTCATCCTGTGATATTTCACCATCGTTGTTGGCATCAGCTCGGCTCTGGAGACCATCCCATATCTTCAGCAGAGTGTCTTCCACTTGCTTGTACTTGGCATCACCAGGTTTGTATCCTCGGAGCTCGGTAATCTTCTTTATAGCCAGCTCGAAGTCCTTCTTGTCCACTCCTCCACTTCGGTTGGTGTCGAAGAATGCATTGAATACATGGAGCAACTTCTTCTTTCTGAAGTCGGACACCATTTTGGCAATTATTCCGATGCTACTGTTACGACTAATTCAATACCCAAGCTGGAGGCTTTATATATATTTTTTGGTGATTATTTTGGACGATATGTACATTATAATCTCTGACTAAATCTGTATATAATACCTTATAAAAGCTATCAGAAAGATATCGTCTAGAACATTACAACGACGTAAAGTTATTATCACCTAGATCTCGTTACCAACGATTAACGATTGGCTCGATATAAGTACCTTCTCGTTAATCTTTTATAACGAATGCGTGTTATCTCAATTAACATTATCAGTAACGACTTAACGAGCTCAATTTTCGTTACTATGTACGCAAATTAGAACGTAGTTTGTACTGATACACCTTCTTACATAAAATATTCCAGAAAAATGAGGTATTTACGATGTGAAATGCTTGTATGTTCGTAATACTTAGCAAACTAAGTATTTTACGAACATTTTGACAAGCGACATCCCTATTGAGGGTTAAATCTGACTGCATAAAATAAATGTTTATTATAATAGACATTTTAGTTAGACATTACGTATGTTGATAGTTCTGGAACGTTGTGGTGAGCTTATTAATAATATTAATATACAAACAATATGATATAAACAAATACATGCATACACATCTCCATCACATCACATCAACAGCCTTAGCTTAGTAGCCACTGCTGACCAAAGGCCTCTTCTCATGTGGAGAAGATTTGAGCGTTAATCACCTCGTTTGCTTAATGCGAGTTGGCGATTTCATACTTATAATTAGATATTCTGATTTCCTCACGATGTTTCCCTTCACCGTTTGTCTCTAAATAATCTTAGAAAGTACATTGGTACTTGCTGTTGATAGGTTTTGGTAAGTTTCGAACACACCCTCTTGCATGAGAAGCGGGCGTTTTTTTTATGGCATAAGCCTGTAAACGAGCAGACGGATCACCTGATGGTAAGCAATCGGCGTCGCCCATGGACACCTGGAACACCAGAGGCGTTACAAGTGCGTTACCGGCTTTTTGGGGATTAGGAGTTTGAGGAACGTTGGGGATTCAGGGATTGGGGAAGGGGAGCGTAATTGGAAGGTAATTGATACGTTTTATAAAAATGAAGACTGAAGACAACAGTAGTTCACGTTTATCTTGAAAAAAAATATTATGTAAAAAGTTCCATATACGTAGTAGGATCGCGTCGACAAAGCCGCGAATGTCGGCTATCCGCGGTACGCAATACATCAGCTTACGGTCCAACGTAAAAACAAAGAAGCACCCGTCTTTTGTTTAGTTAAGCCCTCAGGCCGAACAAGAAATTGTTTCACTGATAAAAGTGACTCTGTGAGGATTACTGTGTGTAGTACGCAGATGTTACTGTTTTTATTAAAAAGGTACCATACATACATAACATCACGCCTTTTATCCCCGAAGGGGTAGGCGGAGGTGTACATTACGGCACTTAATGCCACTGTACAATGTAACACCCACTTTTCACTATTTATGTTATGGGTCCCATGTAATAGGGGGTGAGCCTATTGCCATATACCGGGCACAATTCCAGACTCCGTGCTACTACGGTGATTTTTTTTTAAATACCCGGCAATCGAACCCGGGACTCCTTGCCCGGCAGTCGCAATTGCGACCACTCGGCCAACGAGGCAGGCAGGCAGTAAAAAGGTACCCCATAGGTACAATATAAGGATATCAGTTTTCATCACCTAACACCGCTAACCGCTATATACAATAAAGTACCTAAGCTTTAATTTGTCCGACAATGAAACTACGCACACATCGACTCGCTATCACTCTTGCAGAGCGTGAATGTAATATTGTAATATTTTATTATACGAGTACATACAAAATTAAGTGTTATTTTATTCGAATATTAATTTTAGTTATGTTTAAGATAATCTTAGGATTACCCGTCAATATCCAAGTCATAAAGAGCAAAAACAACAAACATTCCACCCCTCGGAATTGTTTGTTAAACAATACATTTCATTATTTCAAGTACATTTGAAACGTTGCAAAGTTAACGCAAACGTAACGCATTAATATAAGTTAATGACGCGAAACGTTTACGTACTTAGCGCAGTTATAAATTATTTACAGCTAAAACGTAAACGCGTACGTTACGTGATTAATGCAAAGTTTGCGTTAGCTAGTGACCGAATATTGGCGGCAGCCTTGACTGGCGTATCGGTCGTTTGATAACAGTTCTACAAACACAGGTAATATGGTAGGTATTAATTTAGTAATCCTTACATTTATATCGACAGCCTCGTTGACCAAGTGGTCGCAAATGCGACTGACGGACTAGGGGTCTTAGGTTCGATTCCCAGCTCGGGCAAAGTATCGCAGTAGTAGCACGGAGTCTGGAATTGTGCTGAATATATGGCAATAGGCGCACCCCCTATTACATGGGACTTATAACATAAATAGTGTTAAGTGAGTGTTACATTTTAATGACATTAAGTGACGTAATGTGCACCTCTGCCAACCCTTCGGGGATGAAAGGCGTGAAGTTATGTTATGTTATATTAAATTATAGGTTCATGTCTTAAGTCTGCAGCAAAATCAACCAGTTCAGTTGCAAAACAGGACCATGCGCCGGTATTGTACTGGCCCCTTAAGTGACTCGCGGACGAACAAGCCACCAATTATGACAATATTAAAGAGATAAAGGACTAGGAGCACTCCTGGATTACGACAGCGGACTCTTACACGTTGTTATCGATCATGATTTCTTGAATTTTCCATACACTGAGATACGAAGAAAGAACACTTCAAACAAAGTATTCAGGAACTTTCCATTATTACCCATAATAACAATTATAATATTACTTAAAGTGCATCGATAACGAATTCAAGTGTTTATACAAAACAGATAACGTGGTTGTGGTGATAAGAGTAGGAAAAAGAACCAGTCACAAAGGCATGTTCTTTTTATAATTTATGGGTCGAAGTTTGGCCAGTATCTCGCCTGGTGGTAAGCGATGATGGACCTACGATGGAGCACATCTCATCGACGCTTTATTCTATTTTACCTGGCTACTAGAACGAATGCACTTCTTAACTACATCCAATCAATCAAAGGTTCTAGTACTGTGGCAACGCTCAATGACGTGTTAAAAGCTAGTATTGAAAAATGTACGGAAATATTAAAATGCAGTCATCCGCATCGAGCTGACTAAACGGCCACATTTCATCGAGATCGCGGCCGCTACAACAAATAAACTAGAACTACTGAGGGTACAATACCTGCCTACCCCCACCCCGACCGACCGCGATATACTTAACAAAAGGCCTTCTGCATGCACGCCGTCTTTCATTTGATATTTGTATTTGAGATTTATGTAAGTTATATAATATTTTATACTGGATGCGCCACGATATTGGAGTGTTAACAACTAACTTTGGCCACATGGCTTGCAGGACCAAGAAGGGAAGGTCCAAAAAGGTGGTCAGTGCAGCACTACACCGGGCCACCTACCGCGACCGGTGGAATCGTGCTGTTGACTCTGCGGAGTCACGTCTCGTGCAATGAGGGAACGAATTAACTAAGAATATCTACCTACTTACCTAAAACTCAATTTTCAAATTCTCTTGTAGGTAATCAACATTTGAAGAAATTATACAAAGTATACAAGGTGTAGTTTTGAAACCGTGTCATTTCTCGGGGCATGTCACAGAAGTCATAAAGGTTCAATGTAAGAGAAAGTTTCGGGCCAATAGTTAAAAATACGGCTATTATAAATCGTTTAAGTTCAACAGTATTTCAGAATAAGTGACAACAATGTTTCTTATTGGAGTTTTATGAAATTAGGAATAATATTAATTACGTGTTTGAATTTGTGTGTGTTAAGCTGCGTTATAAAGCTAGTTACAAGTTACAAGACGGCGGCGTGTAGTTCGCACTTACGGATTTCCGTAATTTACAGAAAAATGAAAAATATTTACCTACAATTTGTTTAATGATTCGGACTCTGAATCTATAGTCGAGTTACCTCCTACAAAATGAAGCGGCTTTAAAACAACACCTTGTATAAATTACTGGGCATGTTATCAGCCTCTTACTATCATAAAACAAAGTGATTTCAGAGTAATCAATCGAGTGTACTTAGGAGCAATTTCGTCATTACAGCCATAATAATAACACATCACGCCATCGCCAATAATATAAACGGCACTTGAGTGATCATTGATTTAATAAAACAAAGTAATTGCTTGGATCAATCTCATTGATATAAGCCAGATTACTTAGGTAATACCTACATAATTTTGTCCACCTGTCGCTAAATTGGCAATGGTGGCAATCTGTAATTACATTATCTAAGAATAAAATAACATCTAATAATGTGATCATGGCTAAGTATACAATTTATCTTATCAATTATCGTAATTCTGTAAAAACTTTTATACATACCGTGGATAATTCAATGGGTTACCGGGACCCCTACTCCAGCAGGAATAGGACCGGAGTGCTTTTTTCAGTACGAGTCTGACACTCCCTCCCGCCTCACCCGGGCGGGAAAAGTCATTAGATGATTATCCCCCACAAAAAGAAGCTATGCAATTATCTTATCAAATACCGTTCATATATGCCTATTTATAGTAAAAATTAACAAAATATAAAGAATTACTTGAGTTACTGTGTATGTCCTTTTTGGTAATGATTTTGTTTTATTGCATCACAAGATATCCTATTCATATGGGTAACAAAGAAGCATTTTTTGGTGAAAACATGTAACCTACGAACAGTCCAGATTATGTAGTACTTACTTGGGTCAATGTCTTTATGACTTCGTTGGACTATTGGTTATTTAGTTAATCATGGTACCTACGTCTCTTTTAACTCATACATCTCATTCTCAAGTATATAACAATGACATTATTACAATGTGAAGACTTGAAAACAAGCGCACTGTCATGGCACTTCATCTCGCGGTATCTCCGTGTCGTGTATTATTTTTAATCCAGCACACAATGCAACGATGCGACCTCGCCGCACACGGCTAATCCGAGCCTGGCGGACCTGTTGCCATTGTTTAACGGCATACGGAATTTACCACACAGATTCTTTCAAAGTCAAAGTTAAAATCATTTATTTCAATTAGACCAGAAAGGCACTTTTGAACGTCAATAATAAAATTAAAAGTAAAGCTATTTGCTCATTCCAAGGTGTAGATTCCTATGGAGAAGAACGAGTAAGAAACTCCATAGGTTACTCTTTTTCAATCAGGTTCACAATACAATAATACTTTCAATAAGCACTAAAAATATGGAACTAAACTCTTCATAGAACTTGTTGTTCTGCTAAAATACTATTATCTTACCATCAAACCTAAATAGGTGCTGATCAGAATGGAATGTGGATCGATTTCAAAATAAATACCTAACGGTTCCCACTCCAAGTCAGTAATTTGGTTTTCGATTCTTAATCAATGCGATAAAAACATGACAATGACGATTGTGGAAAGAATGTCGAAATTGCTCGTCTTTTTCAAATTAATTTGATAACAGGGTGATGTACTGTTCTAGTAGTATAATACCGCTATATATGTATGTACATAACATAACATCACGCCTTTTATCCCCGAAGGGGGTAGGCAGAGGTGCACATTACGGCACTTTATGCCACTGTACAATGTAACACCCGCTTTTCACTATTTATGTTATGAGTCCCATGTAATAGGGGGTGAGCCTATTGCCATATACCGGGCACATTTCCATACTCCGTGCTACTACTGAGGTTTTTACAAACCCAGTAATACTTTGCCCGACCCGGGAATCGAACCCGAGACCCCTTGCCCGGCAGTCGCCCTTGGCCAATGATTCAGTCTATACATAGAGGCTATGTATGTACATTTTGCAATTAATAAATAAATAAATTTCCAAATTTATTACACTCTAAAGACAAGCTGTATGACATTGGACACACTCCCCCATACGATGGCGCTCACCTCAGCGATGCACGAAGTTACAGAATGATAACAATGTTCCGTCTTATTCAGCCGCATCTCTGTAACTTATCGCTGCATACTTATTCTGTGACTCGGCTCCACCTGCCTATATCCGTACGCAAACGTGCCATTGTTACACGTTACAATACGCAAAGGTAATACCAATGTTTATGATACTAATGTACTTTTTTAGTAATCTCTCTTTTTAAGGACCCCTAAGCTAAGATAGGTGACACTTAGCGACATTTTGGTTTTCGTGAATTTACAAGTGACACCTAATAGTACAGGTAAAGGATTAGGTGGTTCGTTTCTTATTTAGAAAATATTACTTATAAAATAATTAAAATTTTACCATAGGCCCAATTACCCCCCTTCCCAATCTCCCCAATCCCCGAATGCCTAATAATCCTCAAATTCCTAATCCCCAAAAGGCCGGTAATGCACTTGTAACACCTCTTGTGTTCCAGGTGTCCATGGGCGGCACCGATTGCTAACCATCAGATAATCCGTCTGTTCGTTAAAAAAACATTATAAGTAAAGGATTTTTTTTAAGGGCGGAAAATCATCGAATGTCTGCTCCCGCCTGGGTGAGGCGGGAGGGAGTGTCACTCTTACTGACTAAAAACCACCCCGTTCCTTCTCCTGCACGTCGCGTCGAGTCATATTATTTCGTATAGTCGGTTATTTCAACATCACAGACACTCTAATTTTATTTATCTGTATTTATGTCGTCGTCGTCTATTCGTACCTTAACAATGTGTACCTACATAGACGCTCGAATAACAATAGATGTCTATTCGTATTCGCACTAAAATTTGCAGTTTTATTTTAAACTCTGCGATTATCGAAATAGGCCCTTGATTGCAGTGAATGCACTCAAAATGTGCGCGTAGAGTGCTTGCGACGTTTAAAACGTATTTAAACGCGTAATAATAGTCGTCGACGCGCAAATTATTTGTCCAGAGAGGGTTTGCAGAGTTTTAAGTATTTACGATATTTTTTGCGCTGTGTAACTCTCGAGTCTTGAATCGTCATAAGTAATTGAAAATCTGTGTATGTTATAAGACACTAGCTTTTACCCGCGGCTTCGCTCGCGTCACAAAAGGTTAAAAGTAGCCTATATGACATATACCAATACACACAGCGCCATCTATACCAATTCTTTTGTTTTCCCTCGGGAATATCAAAATTTTCCGAGATAAAAAGTACCCTATTATTTAATCCGGACTTCTAACTTTACGTCTGCAAAAATTCAAAGCAATCGGTTGAGTAGTTACGGCGTGAACGCGGAACAAACAAACAAACAAACTCACTTTCCCATTTATAATAGTAAGGATTTATGTTGTAATTTTAATATGTATTTATATTGTGTAGGTCTATCTATAATTTAGAATTATACCTACTATTCTTATTTTTTTATGGAACAGGAGGCAAACGAGCAGATGTATCACCTGATGGTAAGCGATCAGCGCCGCCCATGGACACCCTCAACACCAGAGTACTCACAAGTGCGTTGCCAGCCTTTTAACTATAACTATTCTTGAAAAAAAAAATCAAACTCGAAAATAATTTTCTAAAAAATATATTTTCTCAATAATATAATTCTATTATACATTATAATTATATTAAGTTATATATTAGTAACAGAGCTCGTACGTAACTTGTATATTATAACAAAACATGAATCAGTTACACCATAGAACTATGTACTCTTCTATGACAGTTTGAGTAGAAAAATAAATATTTCAACAGTGGCAACACATCGAATTTATAAAATGTAAACATTTATATTTTGATACATAGGTAAGTTGCATAGTATTATTAATTCTCCTCTTCACCATATATTTATTGTGCCCAGTACAACGTTAAATTATTTATTAGTGATATGAAAGCAATATCGAATTGTTAGCTGTCTTCTATAGTACGAGTTGGTTAATTACGTTTAAGCGAGATGACTGCACGGTTGGCGCGGTGGTTGGGCTACTGGCAGCCGCGCAACGTGTCGCGGGTTCGATTCCTGCACGGGACAACTGTTTGTGTGATACACAGATTTTTGTTTCCGGTCTGGGTGTCATGTGTATAGACATATGTTTTCACATAAGAAAATCATAGTGTGGGGCAAAGTTTTATAAAAAAAATAGAAAAGAAAAAGGGTTTGGTCAGTTTCAATGAACCAACCAATCCGAGGGCGGAACGCGGTCTCCGTTCGAACTCATTAATTTATTGATTTTTAACTTCTTTACAAAAATTGCAGTGAACGGCAGATTCAATGCCTTAAGGCATTCTCTGATAGTCAACTACAGGGAAGTGCAGAGACATAAAGCGGTTGATGCGTCAACCACACGTACACGTACTGAGCCCTCAAGTAAGTTAAATAGAAAATTAGATAACACTATGCAAAGATTGTTAAAAATGCAAACATCACATTGCGCCTATAGCTCTCGGAGATGTACAGACGTAAAGATAAATATAATTTGCCATTTATACTAACCTAACTTCTTATTATATGTAGCCTAGTACCAAATGCCTCACGTGTATTGGATACAATTGTATAGTGGCCAGCACTCAAACCTACTCCGATATGTAATTTTTTGGATTTTCGTCTTTATATCTAAAGGATAGAGTCGAAAATCGAAAAAAAATTGACAGAAAAGAGTAGGTTCACCTGTTACCCATTATACACACAAATAAATAAACCTGTTTTACATATCTGAGTTACATTTATACAAAATATGCCAACACATGAAATAACCCCAAGCTTGTCCAGTTTCAAGCCACACCGGGACTCACATTCATGATCTGTGTGCGCGGTGTACGAGTTAAATAAACAATATTTTCACATAGTCCAAATATTTTCAACTTTATTGCAAAATGTTTAAGTTGGAGCTTATACAAAATCAGTTGTGTTGTATAACATTAATATTCTTCTAATAAATATATTTAATTTTATAATAATGAGGCCACGGAGCAAGTGGAATACAGTCATTATGATACGATTACACAATATCGTGATACGGGAGATTAATTTTAAACTCTAATCAGCATTAGAGTTGTGTTTAGTGAACTCCGTGGTAAGTATCGTCAATAGACGGTTGAACATTGTGTAGTTGGAATACGCTAGTCAGTGATTTTCACCCCTTATATGGAATATATGAACACAGATAACAGCAAATCTCAGTAACCAAATTCGGTAAATAACTAATTCAGTCACTAAATACAAAATGGACTTTGAAAACCGACTTCTTGCTGCCGAAATAGTTTACCTTCGACTCTGGGGTGCACTTAGAAAGTTCAAAAGTATAAATTTAAATAACCCAAGTTCTATTACCTCTGGACGACGACGTATAAGGGGTGTAAACGAGCTAAGTCAGTGCGTGAGTGGTACAGAGTCGAGCGAGTTCACCGCGCATACACCTGCAGCTGCGCGGCCAGCTGGAACAGCATCTTGAGGCCCGGCAGGAAGCTGGCCACGGCCGCGAAGTCCGGCCCCGTGGCCAGCGACGTGGCCACGGCCAGCGCGGCGCCCAGCTCGCCGGCCTGCGCCTGCGCCGCGCACGACGCCAGCGACGCGCACGCGCTCTCCGACAACTGCGGGCAGCGCGCTACTTAGTATCATGTATATACTGATATTATATAACAGATGCGTTTCATTTATGCACCTATTTACAAAACTAGGGATGGCAATTGAAAAACATATTATTATAGTGAATTACTTAACACTGCGGATGGCAGATACTAAGAATCATCACAAAACTAGACTAAAAAATTGGATTGTTGTGGCGGATTTATGCCTGAACTTCCACGAACATTTCAAAATAAGCCAAATCGGTTCAGCCGTTCTCGGTGTTTTAGCGAGACTAACGAATGGAAATTCATTTTTATTTATATAGATAGATATAGATATTTGGACCATATAATTTTTCTTACCTTGTACTCCCGTAGCATATCATAAAGAGTCTCCAATCTTCTTTGAACGTCTTCTAATTTCCTCTTCATTTGCTACAAATAACCAAAATATTATTGTTATTATTCAAATCACAAAATAGGTCAAAGAAAATAAAAAGGAATAAATGCGTTTTTTTGTCAAATACATATAATTGTATCCCAAAAATACCTGTTGACTTTTACCTATAAAGCAGCTCAACTCAACATTACGCAAAGATGTACTTAAAAATATATAGTTTTGTAGGAAATTATAATTTATTACTAGCTTTTCGCCCATGGCTTTGCACGCGCTTCTTTAAAAGGTTGGCATAATAATAATTATACCATTTTTCAGCCTTACGTTAAAAAATGCGGGATACTCCATACAAACTTCCATCCCTATTTTAGGAAAGTGGGGGTTTCAAAAGAGACAAAAAATAGCCTATGTCGCTTACCATCTCTTCAACTACCTATACTTAAAAAATTACGTCAATTCGTCGTTCCGTTTTGCCACGAAAGACAGGCAAATAAACAGACACACATACTTCCGTGTTTATAATATTAGTGTGGATTCATGTAATATTGTGTATTAGTAAACTTACGGGGTTGGTGGCCCTGTTGGTGCATTCATTCCGGATGGCATCGAACACGGTCTGCAGCGACGCGTACTGCTCCGGCAGCGGGGGCTTCTGGACCGGACTGGCGGGCTCCGCGGGGACTGGACTCTCCGGCTATGACAATGATTATTATAATTTTTACCTTTAAAACAACACCCAACTAAACTAACCCTCTGTATTGTTAGGTGACACTTACAGGTGGTCTGAAAAATTAAAATTTCGTTAAGTGTCATCTTAGTTTAGGGGTTCCTTAAAATTTAACAGAGGTTGATAAAAACGGGTATAATTGTGTCTGCGCGTGAACGCAGCCGGACGCTCCCGGAAGAGGCGGGGCGCGCGGGGGAGGGCGACGCGAGCGGAAGCGGCGCACGGCCACCATTTTTTCTTGCTTGGGATCGTTCGCGGACGACGCGGACACAACACAACCTTACTGTTTTATCTAATATACCAGTTTAAATTACAGTCCACTATTATTATTGAAGAGACCCATTCCCAACATTGGTCCTTCCACCGAGAAAAGAATTAAACGGCATAGTTATACACGTGCGCCGATCTATTGCGCCGTGTCCTGTGGCGTCATCCCCGAGAAAACTAACCGTCAAGGAATACACGTGCGCCGATCTATTGCGCCGTGTCCTGTGGCGTCATCCCCGAGAAAACTAATCGTCAAGGAATACACGTTCGCCGATCTATTGCGCCGCATCCTGTGGCGTCATCCCGGAGAAAACTCATCGTCAAGGAAAACACGTGCGCCGTTCTATTGCGCCGTGTCCCGTGGCGTCACCGCTCTTCGCAGTCCACCATCACTGAAGAGTGAAGACCAGAGCACAAGCAGTCACCAGTGGCCAACACGTGTCCGCAACCATAGTGCCGCGTGGCATCGCTGTTCAGGTTTCACATTGATGGTCAAGGACACGTGGCGTGTAGTGAGTCGTTCCAATTTTATTCTATATCCTTATTACCTCCTCTAGTCTCCTCTGGTTTGCATTGGCACTAGCTAAGGGCTTCGACCCCCTATATTGCACGATGGCTGACAAACTCATTCGACAACGGAGTTCGATAAAGGCTAAGCTTACTAATTTCACTACATATCTCACAGTCTTGGAAAACACTGATCAATTGTCTGACGTGCAAGTACTCGACCTCGAAAGTCGATTTAGGAAATTCGAGCAGCTATATGACGAATTTAATCTAATCCAGACAGAAATTGAGCTGCTGTTGGACAATCCTGACGATGCCTACGTGGATCGCTTCAAGTTTGAAGAAAGGTACCACAGCGTGGTTGCCGCGGCGCGCAAAGTCATCGCTGATGAGCAGGCGCGACAGCAGGCCAAGACTTCAGGTTCTGTATCAGGCTCCGAGGTGACAGGTGGGACAAAAAATTTTATACGTTTGCCTAAAATTGATTTACCCCGCTATGATGGCAGCTATCAGTGTTGGCTAGAATATAGGGACACCTTTCTTTCATTGATACATAACAATACCAGTATTGATAACATAAATAAATTTCATTATCTACGTGCGTCACTAAAGGGTCAAGCTGCTGAAGTCATTAAAAACATAGATTTCAGAAGTGACAATTATGTATTAGCTTGGAATTTATTATGTGAGAGGTATGATAATAGTCGCCTGTTAATAAACAATCATGTCAAGGCACTATTTAATGCCGAGCCTATTATAAATGAATCCAGTGCTGCCTTACGCAGCCTGGTTGATGTCACAAATAAAAATATTAGAGCATTAACATTATTGAATGAGCCGACAAGAGATACTTTGATTATTTATCTAATGACATTAAAGTTGGACAGTACTACCAGTAGGGACTGGGAAGAGCACCGTACCACTTTAGGCAACTCACCAACATTGCTTGAATTTTGTAAATTTATGAATAATAAGGCAGATCTATTAGAAACATTAGAGGAAAACAAGAAATTAGATAAAGTGCAACATAATAACAGCATTAAATCTAAAAGTTTTATAGTTACCTCGCTGAAACAGCAAACAAATAATACTGAGAAAGATAAAAGTCAAATTACTTGTCCTTTGTGTTCTCAGAATCATTATCTTTATTCATGTGTAGCTTTTAAAAAATTAACAATAGAAGAAAGGGTACAGAAAGTGAAAGAATTCAAAGTGTGCATGAACTGCTTACGGGTTGGACATACAGAGAAACGTTGTAGATTCTCACGTTGCAAATACTGTAAAGAACGGCATAATACCTTGCTACATTTAGATCAGCCTGCGCTTCAAGTATATAACCCTATGCCTGTTGTATCCTCTAATAGTGTTTCGCTTTCAGCTGATATACAACCTGCTTCTCAGAAGTTTTGCTATCCACAGCGATGGTGAAGGTGTTGAGTCATAATGGCAAAAGGTACAACGCCAGAGTTTTACTTGACAGTGGCAGTACAGCCAACTTCATCACAGACCAGCTGTGCAATATCCTGGGATTGTCTAGTTGATGCTACTTCAACGGTAACAGGTATTAATGGTTTGACTAGTAACAGTACACAATCTTGCAATCTTACTATTGAATCAACATATGAACATTATTCTTTCAATATAAACTGCCTCATTCTATCTGAGATTACTAGTAGATTACCGGCATCCTACATAAATACAGAAAATATACCAATTCCTTCAGGGTTAGTTTTAGCGGACCCATCTTATAATATTCCTTCAGATGTTGATATTCTGTTGGGAGCTGAACTATTTTGGAATGTTATTCAGGCCAATCACATAAATTTGGGAAAAAATTTACCAAAATTGTGTGAAAGTAAGTTGGGATGGTTAATCTCAGGTGCTATACCTGCTAACATGCAGAAGCAAACACATATTTGTAATTTCTCTAAAACATCCTACAGTCCCGACTTAAGTAAATTTTGGGAACTTGATACAATATCATCTAAACATTGTCTTTCAGTAGAAGAACATGCTTGTGAGGAAAGTTTTAAATTAAATACGGTCCGTGGTTCAAAAGGCCAGTTTATTGTTAGTATGCCACTTAAGGAGGATCCCAGCGTTCTTGGCAACTCATATGTCTCGGCTAAACGTAGATTTTTGTCGCTAGAGAAACGTTTTGAACGCGATCCTATTTATAAAAGTTTGTATATTGACTTCATGAATGAATATGAAACATTAGGTCATATGACTGAGGATAGTGAGTTATCAGTTAGTGATAAAAATAATAAGGTTAGTTATTTCATGCCACATCATGGGGTTTTGAGGGAGTCAAGTGAAACCACAAAGTTAAGAACAGTCTTTGATGCTTCATCAAAATCAACAACAGGATTATCACTTAATGATATCCAAAATGTCGGCCCGACTGTACAAAGTGATCTACTCTCAATCCTACTGAGATTTAGACAACATAAGTATGTAATCTCAGGAGATATCGAAAAAATGTATAGAGCTATAGAGCTCAATCCTAAGCAACGGTCATTACAGCGCATTATTTTTAGAAAAGATCCTTCAGAGCCACTCAAAACGTACACACTAAACACCGTCACTTACGGTACGGCGTCTGCGCCTTATCTAGCCACTAAGTGCTTAGCGAGCTTGGCAGAGGCTACGGATGATCATGACGTACAGAGTAGCATACAACGGGACTTTTACGTAGATGATTTATTATGCGGTAAAGACACTATAGAGGGTGCTATCGAACTGTGTCAAAATATAAAAAGAATTCTAAGTTCAGCAAATTTCAATTTAAGAAAATTTAAGTCAAATAATGCTAAAATTCTTGAAAAAATAGTAAATATAGAAGATAACACTTGTCTTGATTTAGATTTGTCTAACACCACGCTTCAAAAACGTTAGGATTATTGTGGAATTGCCAATCTGACATTCTATCATTTTCAATTAATATTGACACTAAAACCACAATAACAAAAAGACACATTTTATCCATAATAAGCCAAATTTTTGACCCTTTAGGCTTAATTGGTCCAATTGTTGTGGAAGCCAAAATATTAATGCAAACATTGTGGGTCAATAAATGCGACTGGGATGATGAGGTTCCCCAGGACATAGTAGATCAATGGTTAAAATTTGTGGATGCATTAAAACATTTAAATTCGTTACACATACCCAGATGGGTCATAGCTGACAATTATATATTTAATGAAATACATGTATTTACAGATAGCAGCGAAAAAGCATATGGTGCTTGTGTCTATATACGCAGCATTGGTAGCGGTAATGCAGTAATTGTACGACTATTAGCTTCGAAAAATCGTATAGCTCCTATAAAACCAACAACGATGCCTAGATTAGAGTTATGTGGTGCGCTGGTGGGTTCAAGATTGTGTACTAAGGTTAAAGATTCCCTAACTATACCTGTCAGCCGGTCTATCTTTTGGTGTGACTCAACAATTGTGTTGAGCTGGTTGTCGGCACCATCGACACAACTCAAGCCTTTTGTCAGGCATCGAGTCAATGAGATACAAGAAAGCACTCTTGGATCTGTGTGGAACTATGTGCCAACTCGAGACAATCCCGCGGATTTAGTTTCTCGAGGGGTGAAGGCTGATCATATCAGCGACTCTAGTCTCTGGTGGACAGGCCCTTCATTTTTGTTAAAGGAGGAATGCCTGTGGCCGAAATTACCCAATGACATTGTAAAACAGGACTTACCCGAGCTCAAATGTCATGTAACTCAGGCTAGTAATGACCACATTCAGAATCAAACAATAATACAACAATTGATTCATAAATATTCTGATTTTAACCATTTGCTCAGAAATGTGGCTTACATTAAAAGGTACATTCACAATTTAAAAAATAAAGATAATAAATTAGTAGGGTTTCTGCATAATAAAGAAATTCAGTCCTCACTAAAATGCATCTTACGTAATGCACAATCTGAAATATTCTCAGATGAATATATTATTTTAAAAGCAGGCAAATCATTGCCTCACAAAAATCGTCTTTTATCCTTGTCACCTTTCATAGACTCTGACGACATTATTCGTGTTGGGGGTAGGTTGGACAATTCTCCTTATGAATATGACGTGAAGCATCCTATACTTCTGTGCAGTAAACATCATCTAACCAAGATATTATTCCAAAACGCTCATAGAAAATTATTACATGCTGGGCCTCAGTTGCTCTTGGCAACAATTCGTCAAAATTATTGGCCTTTAGGAGGTAGAAACTTATCTAGAATAACTGTGCAAAGATGTGTAGTATGTTTTAGACATAAGGCTCAAAATGTTCAACCAATAATGGGGCAACTTCCAAATTCACGGAGTAATCTAGAATTTCCATTCCTAAATTCAAGTGTCGACTATGCTGGCCCAATATTGATCGCTGACCGGAAGGGAAGAGGCTGTAAGCTTATCAAGTCTTACATATGTATTTTTGTCTGCCTGGCTGTTAAGGCTGTTCACCTGGAGCTTGTTACGGACCTCACAAAAGAGGCTTATATGGCTGCTTTGAAGCGGTTCATTGCGCGCCGTGGCAAACCGCGAAGCATATTGTCCGATAATGGGACTAACCTTCGTCGGCGAATAATCAGTTACGCCTTTTTTTACAGAATTCTAATGTAGCAGGGAATTTGGCCCAAGAAGGTATCGAATTCCACTTCGTGCCGGCCTATACTCCCCATTTCAACGGCGTTGCTGAAGCCGCTGTGCGCTCCACTAAACATCATTTAAAAAGACTGCTCAAGTTAACGTATTTTACGTATGAGGAGATGGCTACATGCCTAACTCAAATAGAGGCAATTCTCAATTCCCGTCCTCTTACTCCTTGCTCTCCCGATCCACATGACCTTTGTGCCCTGACACCTTCCCACTTTTTAATTGGAAGACCACTCACGCTCGTTCCTCATCCACAAATAGGAACTGACAGCGCAAACATCAGCCGTCTCGAGCGACTTCAAAGAGTGGAATTCATTAAGCAACATTTTTGGCAAAGGTTTAACTGTGAATATGTCTCTCTGCTACAGCAGAAGACTAAATGGTCTACGTCTTCTGGAGACATCAAGGTGGGCAGCCTCGTCCTAGTAAAGGACAAGACGTTGCCTCCCCTCTGCTGGATGCTGGGTCGCGTCGTGCGGACGTACCCGGGCTCCGACGGCGTCGCTAGGGTCGCCGAATTGAAGATCAAAGGAGGGACAATTCGGCGGGCCTTCAATGTCATCTGCCCGCTTCCACTACATTGAAGCCAGCGCTTCAACCCGGGGAGCATGTCTGCGCGTGAACGCAGCCGGACGCTCCCGGAAGAGGCGGGGCGCGCGGGGGAGGGCGACGCGAGCGGAAGCGGCGCACGGCCACCATTTTTTCTTGCTTGGGATCGTTCGCGGACGACGCGGACACAACACAACCTTACTGTTTTATCTAATATACCAGTTTAAATTACAGTCCACTATTATTATTGAAGAGACCCATTCCCAACAAATTGTCGTGAAACATATTTAATTATTTATATTTACCGGCTTACTCACGCGCAATGCTTCTCATGAATACGAGTCCATAGAGTGACTTTAATCTAGTCGAGTTACCTCATCAATATGTGAGTAAGCGGTTAAACAATACCTAAATAGATAAATTATTTTCCTATTCACATTATAAATAAATCTCTTATACTTGTCTCAATAATGCTATGAGGAGAAAAGAGCTACTTTACTGTATACATATACAAACCTTTTGCGGATAACCAGGCGTCATATTCTGGGCCTGGTAGTCAGGGTAGGAGTTGCCATACTGTTGTCCGTACTGGTTGGGCTGTGCATACTGTCCGGCCTGTGCATACTGTCCGGCCTGTGCAAACTGTCCGGCCTGTGCATACTGGCCCGGGTACTGGGCGGGGGTCGCCAGTGGCACGTGTTGGGGAGGCTCCACCCCAAACAGTGGGTGCGTGATCGGTGCCTGTGCTGTTACTTCTTGCTTCGGCTACAAAGTAAAAAATATTATTGCAAGAATTTGTTTAGTTTAGAAGTAGTTTTAATATTTGACAATGTGTTTTTACAATGTCCCGTTCATATTTTTAATTCCAAAACACTCTATCGCTTACCACGGAACCATGAAACCTATTTGAGTGCAATTCGGTGCAACGATAGTATGAGGCCCGGAAAAGGACATTTGTTATAGTATTGAGTAATTTTGGCGATTGACTCTTCTCTATGAATATAGGCATGTAAGTTCTGTTTGTTATAGAAGGCTAGCTAATCTTTCTTTATATAATCTGTAGTGACTCATTACAAGCTGGAACACATTGTTGAACAAAGGTATTTAACCGGTACAAGTCATAATAAACCGCGTTTATGAATGAATAATCTAACATCTATCGGTAAATTCATTATACAATAAATCTAAGACTTAATATTAACTAGAAAACGCTATGAACAAACTCAAACGACATTCCGCAAAGAACACATTATACACACAAACTCAAATATTTCAGCTATATCATGAATGATAGACAATCACACAAAAATTACGACACTTGTTCATTTGGAGAATATCCAGTATTTAAATCAGCCTTTAAAATGCTGATTCGATGTGCAATCACTGTTTATAATCTGTGGTAATCGTAAGAGACCAAGAGAAAGAACTCATTTCATCTCTCGATATAGTTTTATAACAACTATCGTGAGACATACTGAAATAACTAAAAATAACGTTTTGCTCACTGTTGTGAACTATGCCTTATAATTGTAAATTGGAATTTAAGCAATACTTGCCATGGCACTTACCACTGTATGCATATTTGCCGACGATGGGATACCCCCATCACTGGCCATGTATGATGAAATATACATCGCAGTTACTGTATAGACTCAGTTCGATAAAAATGTTCAATCACTAATTACAGGAATTATTGTAGGTCGTAAAAAAATGTGAAGAATTATATAAAGTAATTATGAACAGCACTTGTGGTGTTCATTTCAAAGGGACTGCCGGAGCGCCATCCTAGCATTACGTAACATCACGATGTTAGAGCTTTTCTCGGTTAGTACACGTACTAACTGAGAAAAGCTGTAATAGTTTCGAGTCACCGAGGGACTCTTTCTCGTGGGCGGCATGCACGGTCGCGCAGCCTACAATACAAGTAGACCTTTTCACAGTATATTTGAGTAAACCGTTATTTTTAGTTAATCCCTTCATACGCTTGATCATTCACATATCCACAAAATGATAACCTTTTTAAACTACACATTCTTAATTCAAACAAAAACACTGCGCGGATATTAAAAAGTAAATTACCCTAAACACACTAGTGAGGTTAAAAACAAGGGAACAATCTCAACTACTAATTTCTGAGAGTAGCTAGTCTAAATGTTATGCACAAAAAAGTTCCACCTCACGTCCTCATTGCGATTTAGGCGAAATGTCTGTGAGATGGCACTTGTTTGTTCGGTGATTGACCCGAACAGGCACACACTGGTAAAAAATCTCACAAAAACACGTCAAAACTTGCATTGAAAGCCAATTAGGAGTTTAAAACCAGGATAGTGTGGAAAAGATTACAATATTACTACATTTTAGTGTGGGACGGTGGAGTATGGTTGGGTATGAATAGAATAAGGTACGGTAAAGCTTGGGTAAGATTGAGTAAGGATTGGGTATGGATGGGTAAGGCTTGAGTAAGATTGGATTAGAGTTAGGTAAGGTTGAGTAAGGTTTAGGTAAAGCTGGGTAAGGATGGGAAAGGTTGGGTAAGGATGGGAAAGGTTGGGTAAGGTTGAGTAAGGCTAGATACAGACTACCTCTGCGTCCCGCCGGTGTCGGATGGCATGGTCCCAGCGCCGAGTGCCGGCGTGGAGAGCCGACATGTCACACGCCTCAACGTTCCCCCAACCCTACTCCACAATATACTTAATTCTTTTACTAATAAATAACCCTATTTTGTGTCTGTTCTCAACAAATAGAAGTATAAAAGGTCAACACGACAATTTTACTTAGACTATGATTTCTAATGCCCGAATATCGAAAGGCTACTCAATTTGAAGTTCTACTTAAATATCGTGCCATCTTTGTCACTTTACAAAGAATTTGTAGTCACAGAACTATACTTAAGCGAGCCTTAAAATTAAGTACGTTTCAGTATTCGGGTAATAATATCGGTTTATTCCACTTTGTTCACCTGGGTGATTTCACCTAGGTGAACAAAGTAGACTTTTTGGAGTCCTCAATTCACCTGGGAATTATTTCACCCAGGTGATATCACCTAGGTGAATTGAGTTGACTCAAGTAGTCTCCTTTGTTCACTTGTCAATTTAATTCACCCAGGTGCACAAAGGCGACTTTTTACTTTTACGTTGTGGACTTATATCACCTACCTACCTTACATCAAGTTAAATAAAAACTTTCAATTTAACATACATTTTAATATGTTCAAATATCAGATTAATGTTGGTCTATTACACATGCAAAAATATATCTCAATTTCTAACACTACGCTAGGAGTTCCAGCTTATAGCTGTACACTGGATATAATTACGAACGAAATTTTATTTCCACATGTGGTCTGTAAATCCGCCTAAATGTTCATTGAAGTGTACCTACTTTGCAGTGCCGCCAAAACTATTAATCTATACTTGTAATAAATCTGTAGAGAGGTCAATTCTGTACACGAAACATATTTCCAAAATAATTATCAGGGGGTGATTGCTACTAAGTAATGCCAAAAACGCATACAGTAAAATTTTTGTCTGTCTGCCTGTATGTTTCTTATAGTGCCTTCGCGCACTTTATAGTCTGCCTGTATGTTTCTTATAGTGCCTTCGCGCACTTTATAGTCGCACTATAGTCGCCTTTGTGCACCTGGGTGAATTAAATTGACAAGTGAATAAAGGAGACTACTTGAGTCAACTCAATTCACCTAGGTGATATCACCTGGGTGAAATAATTCCCAGGTGAATTGAGGACTCTAAAAAGTCTACTTTGTTCACCTAGGTGAAATCACCCAGGTGAACAAAGTGGAATAAACCATAATATCAAGTGGACTTGTGGGTAGCCCTCAAAATGTACTCAGAACTATTTAGTTCTGAGTACGTTATATGTAGTACATTTTGATGGGAAATGGTATAAAAATGTAACATACCTTAGGTTTCGAAGACAACATGGGTGGATCGTTCCAACCTGGTGGTACAGGCTTCGACGGAGCTAAGGGGGCTGCAGGTTCACGGGCTTGCACCGGGTTGAAGTACGTGCCATTGACTGCCGGGGCCTCGCTCATTTGCCCAGGAGCCCCGCCCATTTGTCCCGGAGCCCCGCCCATCTGGTTCATGGGCCCCGGTGAGTTGTATGAAGGAACGCTAGTAGCTCCATACTGGTCGGGTAAAGGACTATTGAAACCTCCGTAAGGTTGTGACGTCACTGGGTTGTTAAAACTGTACTGATTGTATAGCGGAGCCGATTGTACTGAAGGATCCACTTTGTATTTGGAGCGCGCACTGATACCTGGAAGCCATAGAAATAACATTAAGTATTTGTTTAATCATGCGTAGATGACGCAACGTTAGGTTGCAATTATAAAATATATAATTATGCAAAATAATCCTTTGGAATTAAAGAAAAAAAATTGGAAAGAAATGGCACATGTTTTTTATGATTTTAAAATAATGTTTTACTAAATTGTAATCGTAATTTGTGGTGAATCGACGCACCTCCTTGCGGCCCGACACTGCCGGGGCGCGGCGGCTGCGCTTGCGGCGGGGGCGGGGCTTGTGGCTGCAGCAGCGCGGGGGGCGGGGCCACGGGCTGGAGGGGCGGCGCGGGGGCGGGGGCAGCGTAGGGCCCGCGCTGTGACAGAGCGGGGGCCGCGACGGACGACTGGCCCCATGGCTGCTCGTACGCGCCTACTATAACATAGTTAAACTCGTCAGCAATTGCTTAAATGTTATGATTAAATGAACACCTATTTTACAGAAGGTATTTGTGCTAAAATGAAATTTTCATTAAAATTTAGAGGTAATTTATGTATCTAGTTTTTAATACTTTATAATACCAAAATCGCAATATTTTTTATACAAGCTACATTTCTGCGATATTGTGAATGGATGATGCGATTTGTGATTCTGAATGGATGAATAAAATATCTGTATTAGTACATTCTTCTAAATCTCCGAGAGCACACGGGTGTCCTTTTACTCAATCCATTATAGACCTTATCTCTACTGAAAAGAGACTACTTTTGTATGAAAAAAAAATTGAACAAGTTGCAAATGTATAGTATAGATATATGACCAGTTACCTGGAGGAGCATACGCCGACTCCGAGTGCGTGGGGCGGCGGGGGTGGGCTGCACTGTGGGCGCGGCCCGGCTGGGGCTGGGGCTGGGGCTGCTGGGGTATTATTACATACATTATTATATACATGCATGTAACAATTTATTGATTACAGAAGAGGTTGTACATTGTTATATGCATTGAGTGAACTTAGAATGAATATTTTTATGACATGAGAAGGGAGAATCGGTATTCAGTAACTTCACTTACGCGCCTTTGGATGGATTTTCTGTACGGCTGTGGTATGCGCATTTATACCTCGGTCGCATAGAAAATCCATCCAATCGAATCGACCCGTTCGTGTTGAAGCATGGTTCTCGCACGTGGTAGCTTATCAAGAACTAGCTTCTGCCCGCAACTTCTTCCAGCCATTCCTGTTTTCTCGTTCCCGTATATCCCCCTTCCCCCCTATCAGGTTCTAAGTTACCTCTCCACCAATTTTCAGCTAAAATGATTAAGCCTCTTTGAGTTATAAATGGTGTATCAAAACCGTGTTCGTTTGAAATGTATGTATGTATAAAGGAGTGGCGGGAGTGACCTGGCTGGGCCTATGCGGTAGATGTCCGAGCGCGTGCAGCAGGCGGTCCCGCAGCGCGGAGTGCTGCACGGCCTGCAGCGTGTTGAGCGCGGCCTGCAGGCAGCCCTGCGCCGCCAGCCGCCCCGCGTACTGCGACACCACGCCCTCCACGGCGCCGCCCGCCTGCGCCAGTACATGTACATACATGCTAGACAATCATACCAGAAACTGTGGCCACACATGGCCAATGACAGAAGACGTACAGAGATGATGGGCATACAAATCAAAGGATGACGTAATAAATTCTACATCTTTCTTTTTTCTGGCGGCAGTCGATGATTTATGGAAAATATTATTAAACATTACAAATGAAATTGTCTATGGGCTCATATATGGAAATCTCAGTCTGGACTGGACTGAGTTATGAGCATTAAAAGGAGGTGGAGTCAAATATTTTACTTTGGCTTTTTTATTCAAATTATTCTTATTTTTATCACAAAAACTAACTTCAAATCACACCACACCATATCACATGTGGTGTGTGTATATCCTTATTGCCAGGCACTAATTTTTATTACCTATTTTCTCTCTGTCAGTAACTTGTGGGATGCTTCTAGGAGTTGTGTCATGAAGCTTCATGAGCGTCAGTTGTGGTACCAGTGGTGGGTTGAGTAGTGGTAGCCGTCTAAATATCTAACAAAGTATTATTTTTTTCCCGTTCACTCCTGGTTGGAGACTCATCTACTTTATAGTAAGCATAATCTTTTGAAGAAAGGAAACCGTCGACTTTGTAAAGTGATACGTCAAATGAGGGCATAATTTTTTCATATAATGTGATCAGTCGAAATATAATCCATCACTTTGAGACTGAATGACGATATCTTTGTACAGAATCTTATGCTAGCTGTAGATTAAAGTATTAACTGTAGTTAGATTAGCTACTAATCGGAAGTAAGTCGAGAGAAGTAGACAGAAAAATCATTAATTCGTGTTTTGACGACTGCCGCTACTCAATCCGCTACCAACGCCGCAACTGACAAACAGCATTTCGTGACACGCCTCAGTAAAGTATTTTGCGGTTTTCGACTGAGAGGAAATTGATCATGAAAATCTGTCATAGGCCATAAACCGTATACATATAAACTGAACACCCTAGCCAATAGTCAATCGAGCGAAATATTTTTTTATACTTCAGCAGTGGCCAGGTAATGGTTCACTCTGTTCTGATTCCGTGGCCTTAACATAAAAAAGGAAACAAAAAAAATAAGTAAAACAGTCCACAATAAGCTTTACTAAATTCCTTGAAATCGTTTATAAACATTTATTACAAAATAATTCTGACAAGAAAATGAAGAAATATGCGTTATGTACGGTCACCATCAACAAAATAACAGGAGTAATATAGCACTATTTTCACATCTTTGAACTGATTTAACTCGGTTTGGACTGTGTTTTTGATATAAGACCCCATATATATTTTTGTTTGTAATATTATTCTGCATCAGTTTTTCCACATCTGATCAACTGCCGCGAAAAAAGGCACCACGCTCCATACAAATTTGGTCATTGTCATTTACAGGCGGATTAACAACGATAGAAAATTCGAACGAACTATTTTTGGACAAAAAGCCTGCCAGACACGATCAGCTTGCCAGGGGAGGTAAGGTGATCATGATTTGCGATCTTAAAAATCTGTACTCTGTTCCCTAAAAAACCTTAATTTTTAAAAGTACTCTATGTAATAGAAGTTTCAATCAAAAATATGACTCGTTCCTTGTCAAAACAAAACATTATATTCGAAGACATGTCCACAATGGAGGCTATTTTTGCACACCGGATGGCGCTAATGTGATCCTGTCGTTCTTCTTCCAATAGGGAATTAGCTAGTGTCATATCATTGGACATTTAATTTATACCAGCTACAGAGATTGGACAAACAGACTTCTTGCTTAGCGCCATCTGTTGAGCAAAAAACCGGTAGCCTCATTGCGTAATGAGAATATGAGGTACAGACCGGTACGGGGCGGCCCCGCGCCTGCGCCGCGCGGCGCGCCAGCAGCGCCAGTTGCGCGCGCGCCGCCAGCGCGTCGAGGCTGGGCGCGGCCGCTGCGCACGCGCGCGCCAGCAGCGCGTCCGCGCTCATGGCGCACAGGTAGCACGTGCTGGCCGCCTCCGACAACCCCGCGCCGCTCTCCTTCGACAACCTGTCCCCCAGCAACTCTGCCACACAAACACTACTACTGTCTTAACCGCTTTATAAGGGGCGGAAATCAAATTAATTGGGTAAGGAGGTGAGTGTCTCTTCCTGACTTAAAATCACCGCGTCATAGAAGCATAGCAAGTAGAAACAAGCTGAATAGGGAGAAAGCAGACAACTACGATCAAATGTATTTTTGCTATCTTTCATATAGCGTTAGACAAAAAGATATTAACTGTATAGAAGAACTTTAATAACACAAGGATCAGTTTCAATGAAGATTGGATCCAGTTACCGCAGTAATGGCTGGCAGTGTCCTGGTCGCAGTGCGTGAGTATAGCCGCGAGGGTCTCCCTCCAACTGGCGGGCGCAGCACTAGCCACGAGTCCCCCCCAGCCCCCCAGTAGCAGACTGCCCGCCACCAGCGACACGGGGGACCCGGCCGTAGAGTTCAGGTGGTACTTCTGCACCTTCTGGAGGAGCTCAGGGCTTCCTGACAACCAAAACAAAAATATTAACTCGAACGAAGAAAAAGAGCAAAGGATCAAGCAACCATAAGACAATAACTCTATGGGTACTGAGAAAGTTGACCCCGTTTGTATTTTAAGACACTTTTGACAATGCCACTTTAATTTTATTAAAATACTTATTACGTACTTTTAAGACATATAATTTTGGCAGTGTCTTAATAATGATCCCTTAAATCGAGTATGTTACGCGGCGGCGTCCGGCATCATGCACTGGGTAAGAGTGCAAGATGTAAAAGTAAAAATATTTTAGTCAGAGTTAACGATTGACTTAGGCTCTACTGCCTTGTAATAAGGGTTATATATTACGTTGTGTATATTTGTATCCGATCAATGGAGATTCCCACTCGTTCTTCCACATACAATTTCATTTGGAACAAGCTTTTACTTTCACTCGTCTTTACTGAACTAGAAGGGTCGATGCACACATCGGCTATTTAACAAAACTTAAGAAACTACGAGAAATATAATTTATGATATTAATCTCACCCAATGAAGCGATAATCAATGCGTCGGCGATCCTCTTAGCATCGAGACACAGTTCCACGGCCTCCTCCAAGTTACCGACCACCAGCGCGCGGCAGATCAGACTCGTCGAATCTAACCATACAATAAATACACATCAAACAATAACGTACAAACAATAACGAAAGGTATCTATTTTGTATAACACTTCAACATGAATGTGATAGAAGCTGCTGAGGACTTATACAAGTTTATTTTATGTCGAAAGGTTACCGCGTCGGCCCTCTGATTGACCTGCTCCAATAACTCAATCAATCAGAGGGCTAAACGCTGTAACGTCTCGATCTCGTTAAACGTACTACTACTTCTAATCTCGTTACTAGACCCTCTTAACGGTTATTAAAAAAATATTGAACATACCTTCTCCATTAGGAATGACCACGTTGGAGACTGTCGGCGGCGGGGTGATGTCAAGGTTTGCCAGCTTCCTCTCTATCAGTGTGTGAGCATCCTGCAAACATAATTCTACTTGAAATATTACTTTTAGAAGTTCATGAACTGGACTGATTTTACTTTTAAGCTAGTTATGAAGTTTTAGCATTTAATTTGACCTGATAATATGCCATGAAAATACAGCTTCAATTTTTTTTACTAAATCTTAATGAGATAAATGAGAGAATGAGATAAAGAAACGCAAAGTAAAGTTTGCGCATTGCGCATCTTTTGCGCAAGATTTTGCGATATCAGAACTTAAAAAACGCCTATAAATTAGCTATAAATCAGGTTTTTGGTGCATTTCGCTGTACTTACTGAGAGATCAGTGCTGGTATCTGTAGACAACTCCGCCTCGGTCTCCGTGGACTCGCCCTAGCCGCGTTAAGTAGACAGTAGCATATTATAGAGCACATACTGAGTGAGCATAGATTAACAGGTTATTTACATTAGTTTGGTTAACTCCTTCACTGCTAGAATAAGATTGTGTTAGGTAAAAAAATAATACACTAATTTATAGTTATGGGTTTTGTGTTTACTTTATTGTAACGAAAAAGTTAACCATTAAGAAAAAAACAAAAGAAACGTGTCGTGTTAAGTAAAATACACGTCAGTTAATGAATTAAAGACTTGAGATTAGCTTTATAAGTACTGAATAATATTGTAAGCACAAGAAAATAGGCTGGTTATACGGCATGCATTACAAAATACTAGTTATACTGATTTGTACTCACTCTACTCAAAGCAGCTAAGTCTGGTTGAGCGCCATCGCCCGTCGGAACGTTGGGACTCTTGAACTTTGATGATATTTCATCTTGTTTGAAGCCTGGACAAAGGAAAAAATAAACATGAATATTATGAGTAAGCACCGAATGTTTTACACAGCTAGATATTCATGTGAGCAATGATGGCTAACGTTTCTATTACCCACGAGATGGCGCTCATGTAGCATGAGGTCTTTTATGTTCCATAGATAATTCTATAGTTTCAGAACATTAGACTGTCAACTTCGACGTCTACAGTGCACCTATAAAGACTTGAGCTACATTAGCGTCTTCTGAAACTCTTTAATCTAAGCGTTAATCCAATTTAGCTTAAGTTTGGACGTCAGACCGTATGGTCTACATATAATATTGCTCATTTAATAAAATAATAATTACTTACCAAGTAAATTAAGCGCTTCAGTTTGGAAGGTAGGCAGGAAGTTAGCGCGCAGGAAGAACCACGTGTAGCGTTCATTCTGATCTGTGGCCGCGTCACCTTTCTGGCGACAGTACCTAAAGTAGGACACAACATTTATTACGGACTATTACAGCTTGAGCAAAATCTATTACAAATGTTCGTAAACAAATTATAACGGTATAAATATTTTTATAAATACATCGCATGCAGACCCCCGCGTTCTTCCAATATATTTACTTACAATTTTGTGTAGTAGCAAAAGGATAAACGAACATACAAATTCTATTTGATAGTACTATATTTGCCTTTAAAATGTTCACATTAATCTTGGTGAAGATATAGAATTTCTTCGCCGTAAGATTGAGAACACATTTAAAGGATTTAACAACAATATTGTATACTCAAAGGCAAAACTAGGGATTTTTAACTAAACAGCATAATATTTTTGTACTCACTCAGCGAGTCTCTCAGTGGCTCCGGGGTCGTTACTGAGACTGGCCTCCAGGACTGCGTCCAACTCAGATGCCTTCTCTACAATCTCCGGCTCACTAACGACCTATACACAACATTTCATTAGGTTATAAAATATGACTGATTTCCTCTCATTAGACAAATAGATATATTTTTTATTACAATTAGGTTCAAAATTGCTTGATGGTTGCTTCTTACCTGACTTATGTAGACTAGTTTCTGTGGTCCGGCCTCTTGTGGACATTTGTCGAATGTGACCAATTTGCCACCAAACTGAAAAAAGGAAAAGTATTAAAAATTATAGTTTTTATTTGAAGAAGTTAACATTTGTATGTATTTATATTGTAATGTAGTTTTATAATATTTAACTAAAAGAAGTGTTCAAAAGCGATTTCCCAGTGGAACTGACAAATAAATTAATGGATTCAAATCTGCTCCCAAGCTTAACCTATGCATGTTAAACATGGAAATATACCATCGATGTTAAGAACAAAATTATCTCATGCCAAAGGGGAAAGGAGCGCAGCATGTTCAATATTAATACACAACACATAATCCGTCACTCAAAAATCAGAGCGAAATCCAAAGAAATTGACGCAGTTTCATATGTACTTAGACTAAAATGGAAATGGGCAGGTCCTGTAGCAAGGTTAGAGGACAAAAATAATTACAACATGGAAAGGATCGATAGGAAAAACAAAAAGAGGAAGACCGCACACACGATGGGATGACGATATCCTACGAGTGGCTGGAGTACGCTGCCTAGATACAGCAGACGATCGAGAAAGGTGGCAGTGTCTGGAAGATACCTTCACTTCAGGGGTTCCCTAAAACTAAACTTAATATAAAATAATACGTTTTTTTTGGAAATGTACATTTCTTTTTAAACTGGGAAATATGGCTGTTTTGTTTTTAATTATTTATTATAATAGTTAGTATGTGTGTCGATCGCGATAGTTTGTAAGTTAAGGAGGTAAGGTACCATTTCTTATGCATGTAGGAAAGCTAGCATGTACCACTATGCCTTTTTTCGAGTAATTCATTAATTTGAATATGCACTTTTGACGAATATTTAGACACCACTGACATACTGTTCGTGACTTTACTAATTTTTTCGCTTTGACGAAAAAGTGTCAGACTCTTACTGACTAAAAATCACCTTGTTCCTTCTCTTGCTTCAATTGGTAACCTGTTACTGGCCGTCCTTAAACCTGGACTTTTCATTTCTAAGTTTAACATCGCTAATCCTCATTGAGCAGGAGTGGTGATTAACGCTCGTACCTTTCCCGTGTGTGAAGAGGATCAGCTCATATGTTTACTTATAAGCTGTTGGTAATGACACATAACATCACGCCTTTTATCCCCGAAGGGGTAGGCAGAGGTGCACATTATGCCACTGTACAATGTAACACCCACTTTTCACTATTTATGTTATGAGTCCCATGTAATAGGGAGTGAGCCTATTGCCATATACCGGGCACAATTCCAGACTCCGTGCTACTACTGAGATTTTTTAAAAACCCAGTAGTACTTTGCCCGACCCGGGAATCGAACCCGAGACCCTTTGCCCGGCAGTCGCACTTGCGACCACTCGGCCAACGAGGCAGTTACTGGTAATGACAATGACGACAGATTTAACAAGTTTTACACAAAATTATTCATTTAAACCTATTAAGGTTTCTATTAAGATACCTAACATTATTAAGCTGTTTACAATTATATTATGTATTATACCTGTGACCATTACCAAAGATATATTTTGTTATGGGTTTGTGGCACCAACTTCTAACCTATCAGTGGGTGTGTAAGCTATAAGTACGTACGACCATTAACCATTGTTCTCTTAGCTATCATACTACTTAATCATTGGACATTTAATGACAACCACACCACACCTAGCTGTAAAGTCCTCATCAATACAAATTAATCAAACCCAAACACAAGGTAGCTACTGTTAACCGTCGAGGAGTTCCCTCAACTATCGTACTACTTCATCATCAGACCCTTATTGACAACCACACCACACCTAAATATAAAGTCCTCATCAATACAAATTAATCAAACACAAGATAGCGACTGTTAACCGTTGAGGAGTTCCCTCAACTATGGTACTACTTCATCATCAGACCCATAGGCAATCACATACCACCTAGGTGTAAAGTCCTCATAAATACATATTAATCACACCCAAACACATGATAGGTACTGGTAACCGCTGAGGAGTTCCCTCATACTATTATTTACAACCACACCACACCGAGGTGTAAAATCCTCATCAATACAAATTGATCAAACCCAAACACAAGATAGCTACTAATAACCGTTGAGGAGTTCCCCTAAACTATAGTACTATTTCATCCTCAGACCCTTATTTGCAATCACATACCACATAGGTATAAAGTCCACATTAATACAAATTAATCAAACCCAAACACAATGTAGTTACTGTTAACCGTTGAGGAGTTCCCTCGACTTCCTCTCGGCTCCATCATCAATGATCAACTCCAGACCTTTATTAGATTGTAGTGGTTTTAAATATTTAACGAAAAAATTAACAAATGCTCTAGTCGTTCTTATAATTTTTAAAAGTTCCCCTCGGTTACCCTGGGATTCCACCATCAGATCCTGACTTCATTGCAAGCCTACCCTTTCAAACAAAAAAAGATTTTTTGAAATCGATCCAGGCGTCTTCGAGTAATAGAGAAACAAACATAAAAAAAATGAGAACCACTTCCTTTTTTTTAAAGTAGTTTGAAAATAATATGTCGTAGTGTGAGTACTCACGGCGAACTTGGCAGCCCGCGGGCGACGCAGCCAGGCGGGCGGCGCGGGCGGCTGCGCGGGCGCGGCCGCCGCCGGGGCCGCCGCGCGCGCCACCGCCGGCAGCGCGCTGAACGAGTCCAGCCCGCCGAATGACTCCATTATGTTGCTCGCGTTCTGGCTCGACTAGAAATATACAACACGAAAAATGAAAAAGCTAAAAACACGCTCTTAATCATATGTTCTCATTATCAAAATAAATGGAAATAGCTACACAGAAAAGAAGATAAGGAAAAATAATTTATTTCACACGCTACAAATCAAGAGATAAGTAAAAAATATAAACACTTTCATTAATTGATTTTATGACCAACTTAATTTTAGTACTTTTCCAGCAAATTTTAAGAAATAAGTATGCTATTTGACGCAAAAAAAACACGACGTCACAATACAAAATCTCGTAAAAAATTTATAGAAAACTGTCGTTTTTGACGGTTCGGAAAAAGTATTGAATTTGACTAGTTGGCAAGTACCCAATGGGGATGATGACAAGGTATGAAAATTAAAAATATAATTAGTCCGTAAGTTAGGTAATGAAAAAATATTAGACACGTATTTTTTTATTTTGTCGTATAATAAAACAATACTTATATAAAACGAATCAAAGTATATGAGTGGGGGCTAAAACGTCATTTCTTAGTATAAAATGTACTGAGAAGTGACGTCACGCGACATTTCAAATCAATATATCTTCGAAACTATTCGTTTCTGTGAGAAAATAAAAAATACGTGTCTAATGTTTTTAAATAATCTATCAGACGGACATTAAAATAAAAATTAGTCGTCTACCCTATTAGAGTTAGAAGTCAGAAACATGTGACTCACAATCTCGGGCCTGGAGCCGCCCAGCAGCGAGTGCACGGCGACCTGCTGGTCGAAGGAGGCGCTGGCCAGCAGGCCGGGGTCGCGCGGGCACCACGACACCTCGAACACCCACTGCTGCTGCTGGCTCACCTCCGTCAGCAGCCACCCGCCCTGCGGACATATACATTTACAACTACATCCGGAATAACCAACCAATGTTTACATTTCTTTAGCACTAGTTATATCAAGGACCTCAGTTATATTTCATTCATTACAACAAATAAACACCTTATTTATAAGTACCTACTCGAAAAAGGAACGATCGACGTCACGCAAATAACTTGTGATTATAAGTCTCGGTATGACTTGAAATTAGTTGAACATACTCGAATTAAATTATAAGCAAATCGTTAATCATATTGACATAATTTATAAGTATAACGATATTTGTTACACAAAAACAGTAGAATCTTTTTGTTTTTTTGTATTATTATATTTTTTTTTACTTAAACATATCGAATTTCGAAAGTTGAACTTTGAGATTTGCCTTATTTTACTATTTTGCAGAAACTCACAGGTTTAGTATTGTTGGGGTTCCAGCAGAGTACTCTCCCGTCCTTCCCGGCAGACAGCAATAGGTCAGGGTCCTGCTTGCTCCAGGACACTGACATTACGCCCTTGTGGTGACCCTCCAACGTCACCAGCGGGGACGCAGCCAGTCTGGTACAATCATCCACTTATTTACAATATTCTGGACAAAAAACGACTTAACAAGTAACAACATAAATTACTAATTTGTATTGACAATTTATTTTATATGCATTTTTTACTTAACTACACTGTTGGTCCTAAAGTGTTGTGAACCTGATTGAAAAAGAGTAACCTATGGAGTTTCTTGCTCGCTCTTCTCCATAAAATCTACACGTTGGAACGAGCAAATAGCTTCACTAGAGGACTGACCTACAGACTGACATTTTTTCCTATTATTTAACATTTAAATATTTTGTTTTTGACGTTCAAAAGTGCCTTTGACTTTGACTTTAAAAGCTATTCAACATGTCGTGGGTACAATTCTTTATCCACATAATGTATCCACATATTGCTTTTTCTGGTCTCGATATGATATGTATTTGGAATTGTACATTTCTAAACGCACCTTCGAGATAGGAGAAAATCCTAGAGTGGGACAAAATGAATATCAAAATAAAAGAAAAATAATGTCACCTCAAATCCCAGAGCTGTATGACGGGGACCTGGTCGTCTTCGGAGGCAATGCAAAGCTGTGTCGCTACGTTGGGGTGCCACGCCAGGGAGCGCCATCTCGTACGGGACTGAGAGTCGCTGGAATTGTATACAAAAAAAGACTCTTAGCACGGGTACTAATTACAATATATCATTCAAAAAATACGGTAGTCTAAAAAAGACACGAATTACAGATACAAAATGTATGTTTGAGTATACTCTGTGCACTGGGTAATTGGACTCAGAATCAACATAACATAACATCACGCATTTTATTCCCAAAGGGGTAGGCAGAGGTGCACATTACGGCACTTAATGCCACTGTACAATGTAACACCCGCTTTTCACCAGTTGAGTCCCATGTAATAGGGGGTGAGCGTATTATTGCGTATACTAGGCACAATTTACAGACTTCGTGCTACTACTAAGTTTTTTTTCAAAAACCCAGCAATACTTTGCCCGGCCGGGAATCGAACCCGAGACCCCTTACCCGGTAGTCGCACTTGCGACCACATGGCCAACGAGGCAGTATGCGAATTAAGTATACCGATAACACCGAATTATTAAATAGTCAAAAATGTTTGCAGCTGGCCTCACCTTAGTTTCATAATAGGTTCGTTCTTCCTTAAATCCCAGACAACGCATCTCGTAGCGAATGTAGACCCGAGAATATGTTGCACCTGTCAATACAATTTGTTTACAATTAATATAGTACAAAATTACAAAGTATAGTTAGCTTGAAGGGTCGGGTTTTCAACCGACTCTTTGATGGGATTTTCAGAAAAGTGTTACTTAACACTCAACAGAAGGTTTTTGTATATTAATTAACCGACTTCAAAACTAAGAGGGTATAAAATAATTAATTCAAGCTTCTAATCATATGAATAAATTAAACAGAGATTGTTTTATGGCATAAGCCGGTAAACGAGCAGACGGATCACCTGATGGTAAGCAATCGGCGTCGCCCATGGACACCTGGAACACCAGAGGTATTACAAGTGCGTTACCGGCCTTTTGGAAATTGGGAATTTGAGGATTGTGGAGGATTTTGGCATACAACGCAAGCGTTGTTTTACGTCGGTTTTCTGTGAGGCCGTGGTATCACTCCGGTCGAGCGGGCCAATTCGTGCCGAAGCATGGCACACGCACACTTAAATTTTGGTCAAAGACAAAATTCTGGAGACTGCGCATAAAATCTGAAGAGCGATATGGGGAGAGGTTCTCTTGATCAACTAAATCAATTTTAACCCAATTCGAAGTCAGTGAACAATAAATAGAGGTAAGTTAACATGTTGTATGTTAACTGTTTGTTATCAGTATCCAATCATTTATTCATTACTCAATTCACAGCTCCGAGCTGTGTAATCTGCAGTCGACGGCCAATTTAGTTTGAATGCCATAAGTTCATCCACCGCAATACAACGTATTGTGAAATGATTCAAGTCTACAGAACTGGAAGCCATTGTATGTATAATTTTATATACATTTATTACTTCATCCAAGTTTGTTTGCGACAACTGTCAACAAGGATGACTTCTTTAAAGTACAGTATACTGACACTCAGGTCGGACGCAGAATTTATCATAACATTATCATAACATCACGCCTTTCATCGCGTCTTTTATGCAGGCAGAGGTGCACATTACGGCACTTAATACCACTAAACAGTATAACACCCACTTTTCACTGTTTATGTTAGGAGTATGTAATAGGAGGTAAGCCTATTGCCATATACCGGGCACAATTCCAGACTTTGTACTACTGAGATTTTAAAAAAAAACCCATTAGTACTATGCCCGACCCGGGAATCGAACCCGAGACCCCTTGCCCAGCAGTCATACATGCGACAGTACTACTTCCGTCGAATGGGTTAACTATTTTTATATTGGATAGTTTATATATTTTGTGTAGATAGATTACAAAACATTGCGCTTCGATCAATTGGAGCCTAGCAGAGTGTGAATACGCGCAGGAGTAACTAGTGTACGATAAATTATTAATTCTAATTCTCACCTGTTGATTCCACGCCAATCCCTGCACATGGTCGTAAGGCTGGTTCCTGTTACCAGGCGCCATAGGCTGGCTCGTGTTATTCAGGTCCCATATAAAGATCTCGCTCTCCGACGCCCCGGACGCGAGCAAATTCTTCTGATACGGGTTTATGTCTAACGATGATACATGACCTGGTGACAACAAGTTACACATGAGTAAAAGACGATTTTTCAATCAACAGATAATTTATACTCGTAGAATAGAATTGACATCTGACATTATTTTTTAACACATTGAATGCCATGTCGGACAATGATGTCCGACGCTAACGGAGGATCGGCCTTACACAGTTTGTATCGGCAGTTAAAGGCTTAATTCCTTATGATCCAACGAGTGCATTTGGAGAAAGAAAGAAAATGCATTTATTTGGCCATTGGCACACGAAAACAAGGATCATTACAATAGAAATAAAAAATACAGTCAAAATAAAAACAAAACATTAATAATAGATTTCATAAAAGAGAAAGCGGCATGGATCATTTTTTTTTCTTATGATCCACCGAGTGCTCATAAGGACGCTCGAGGGGTTAAGGATGAATTGTAAAATATTCAAAGTGGAATAACTCTGATAAAAATGAAAATAATATATGTATAATAATATTTGTATTTAGAAAGTTGTGGATGTGAAGATTCTGAAGAGTGCTAATCTTCAGAATCTTCACATCCACAACCCACAAGCCCACAAGCGCCTTTTACTGCTCTAATTGGAATAAATGATTTTGAGTTTGACTATGATTTAGGCTTTATTTCAGCCATAAACATCTTTTTATAATAACTATCGTGAGACATACTAAATCAACTAAAATCGCGGGTTATTCACGTGAATATACTGAGAAAAGCATTAAGCAGCTCACTGAGTGAGCTGCGCGACGTCGCCGCGACCGCGCACGCTGCTCATGAGAAATAACCCCTCTGTGGTTCGAAACTAGTAGAGCTTTTCTCAATATGTGAAATTATTGTGAGTAAACCGCGATTTTAGTAAATTAACAAACATCAGTCACTGATGATTAATATCAATATAACATAACATCACGCCTTTTATCGCCGGAGGGGTAGGCAGAGATGCACATTACGGCACTTAATGCCGCTGTGTAACACCCACATTTCACTATTTATGTTATGTATGAGTCCGATGTAACAGGGGGTGAGCCTATTGCCATATACCGGGCACTAATCCAGACTTCGTGCTACTACTGAAGTTGTTTTTAATAACCCGGTACTAGGTACTTTGCCCCACCCGGGAATGGAACCCGAGACCCCTTGCCCGGCAGTCGCACTTGCGACCACTCGGCCAACGAGGCAGTCTTACCAAAGGCAATTTTAGCAAAATATAATAATTATGTTAAAATTATTTTTTTAAACCACTCCAATCTCCAGCATAATTTTACTGTCAGAAAAAAGGTATGATATAAAGTTAACACACATAAAAATACATGTCTGTATGTTTGTGATAATTATACTATATTTGATAACCGCATCTATTGTGGCATGACATCACTCAAGCTCCACTGAACATTCACTGTGACCACAGATAATGCGTTATCACAGAGTTTTTAACCGTTTAACAATACAGAAGCTTACAGATAACGTCTCTTCTGAGTTTCACAGCATCATAAGTGAATGCTAATATCAACTCTACAGTTAACAAAATAGAGACTCTTCTCATTCTATACACATAAAATTTATGAATGTTAATTTCGACTGAAAACAATAAAACGTAAATATGCTGATATAAGCTCTATTACTAAGGAAATAAAGGTAGTTTTAGCTCAGTCTGCATTTATTGATATGTGCTTGACTGGCACAGTTATGAAAGTAATTGGATAAAGAATGTCTTGAGTCAAAACTGTCGCTGCATAGATTATGTGGTAATTGTTTGGTTATATTAATGTGGCTGTGTGCCCTAATTAAGGTTTGATATGTAACAGTGCAGCAAGTGATAAATTTAGTATGTTCAATTGTGTATAAATAATTTATTTCGCATAATATTAAATTTTGTACTTTCATTTTGTACTTTCATTCATTAATTTAACATACATATTTTACATGTTATGTTTACACTTATCAAAATACTAGCTTTTACCCGCGGCTTCGCTCGCATCACAAAAGGATAAAAAGTAGCCTATGTAACATATACCAATACATACAGCGCCATCTATACCAATAATTTCGTATTCTCTCGAGAATATGAAATTTTTCCGGGATAAAAAGTACCCTATTATTTAATCCAGACTTGTAACTTCACGTCTGCAAAAATTCAAAGCAATCGGTTCAGTAGTTACGGCGTGATAGTGGAACAAACAAACAAACAAACTCACTTTCCGATTTATATATTAGTAAGGATTCCAAAAAGTATCAAAACAACTGAAACTCCCCAAAGGGCTACAATCCTCTTCAATTACGTTATTATTTCAATTTCAAAACACATCAACTTCCTATCTGTGTGCACTATTATAGAGAATTACAAGCATGATTTATTTTATTTTAAACTACTACAAATTATCTCAAGTGTGAGTGACGTAACTACAGGTTGTCAATAGCGTAACGACCACAAGTGGGCTTCTTTCTGAGGTTTTCGTCTGATTTTTGTCTATTTATCCGAATTCATTAAACTATACAATAAATTTGCCATGGGCTCCGATCGGTATAGTTACGCCGCTGTCTAGTATTAAGTTCTACCTATAAGAATTATCCAAAAGAATAAACAAGATAACTATGAAGTGACATTTTGCATTTATTTTGACTGATTATATAAACTTATTGGACATTTTGTCGGTTGTTGACCCATTTCACACATTGATAACGATTCATATTAATGTATTGCTTGTCCTGATAACATACAGACATTAAAATTATCTTGTATCACTTTAACTTTTCAGATTACATCAATTTAATACAATAGTTTAGACTACACATTTAAAAATACTGAGTAACATAAATTATTTTATTCAATTTGCACTCAGTATTATTAGGTATCTACTTATAAAACTGTTGATATCAGAGCCATTATATTCTAATAAGACCAATGAAACCCAATTTGACCCTCAAAAAGATTGTAATAAAGATTATAACATACTTACCATTATGTTTGGTACTGCTACCGAGGAGTGCATCGGGGGCATTTTGAATCAATTTCTCAGAACTGTAAAACTGTAGGAGCCCTCCATCGCAACCTCCAACTAATACACCAGCTCCGGACCATACTATCTTTTGGAATCTAAAACAAGACAAATAATTAGAATAATTATGCTATGTTAACCTTTACAGACAGCCTGTAAAGTATGTAGCGACTGATAAATGGAATAAAATTATATTAGTAGAAAGAAATAAAATGTATTTACACAGCATGACATACAATGCAATAATTTTGTATAAATAATAAGTTTCTAACACTTCACAGTGAAACAGGTAACTTGCATATAATATAAAACATACTTTCACCTTGCATTTTGCTTGACACCAATGAAATGAATGAATGAATAAAATGACAAACTTTGAATTAACTGCATTGTTGACTAGTGGCCATAAATGCGACTGCTGGGCCAAGGGGTCTCAGGTACGATTCCCGGATGGGACAAAGTACAACTGGGTTTAAAAAAAAATCTCAGTGGTTAGTCTGGAATTGCGCCTGGTATATGGCAATAGGTTCATCCTCTATTGCATGGGACTCATAACACAAATAGAGAAAAGTGGGTGTTACATTGCACAGTGGCATTAAGTAAGGTGCACCTCTGCCTACCCCTTCGGGAATAAAGGGTGTGGTATTATGTTATTTAATTAAGCAGATTCAGTCGCGATCTAGGTAATAACTTCATGATATTATTTTAGTTTTGACATTATGGGCACTTTAAAATCTGTATGGGAAAAGTATGTGCTTTAATTCCCTTGTAAAATAAATGTACTTTTTTAGCAAGCTATATCACCTCATTTTCTACAAGCCTATGTTATACAATATCATACACAATAACAATAATGGCTTGTTGAGAAACAGGCTTAAAGTAATCAAAGTTGGACATTATAAAAATGTTAAGACAACAGTAATTACAATACCAACCATTTACATTGCTCACTGTTTATTGGACAGATGTTTGTAAAAAACTATTCATGAATAAGAAACTATATTTACATTTTGTAGAGTAAATAAAGATTACAATATATGTAGCAAGGTTACTGCAATATTCTATAGATTGTAGTAATCATTATACATTTTATAGACTGTGTTTATTTTGTAAAACAGAGTCTTTTTGTGCTTGCCTAGTGACTATTCTAATAAGAAACTTAATATTCTTGTAAAGTCAGACAAGTTAGAATCACGATCAAGAAATATTCTTATGAGAAATAAGTTATTTTTATGTTCATCTTTAATGACCAAACATAATACCAATGCTCCACTTCTTATGTTTAAGCCATTTACATAGTAGACAGTAACTGTAGAATATACATGAGTACTTTTTTTACACAAATAAACCTATTACACATATGTTGAACATAATTAAAGCAAGGTGAACTTGTACCAATCACTAATCCCATAATCCTACTAATATCATTTGAGTTTACTCACTTGTGCTCTGTCTGCAAACTGGATTTAAGTTCTAAATCAAGTCCAGGGTCTTCCAAGTTTAAGGAATAGAGCTCTAAGTAGGAACTTGAGCTAAACGAAGAGTCGACCTGCTGCGCTGCAGAGCCGGCCGCGATCGTCACCGGGTAGTGGTCAGCCGGCGACCAGCACACATTCACCGTCCTCTTCAGCTCCTTCACTTTCATCTTCACAACACTGGCTCACTATAATAAACACAAACTAACACTAAAACCACCGAAAAACTGTTTTATTTACCAAATTATGTCACAGAATTGGAACGCTTCCCACTGCAAATTAAGACTTAAAACAACTATATGCACTGAAGTCTATGATAGGATAATATGTAAAATGTATTTTTCTAGAGAATATAACTGTGTTTCAATTAAAAAATCATATATTTACCATAAAAACACCAACTTGGCACTTCCAACGTGGCTGACGTAAATATTCTTGATTTTATTTGACAGCTGAGAAAATCAAGTGACATGACAGTTCGTTCGGAAACTAACAAGAAGGACACGTCATTTCTTTGTAATAATGGTATAACGGGATCAACACGCAGAAATAATGATTTATCGGAATGTTACTATAGCAACCAATACAATAATATTCGTTGAATGTTATTTTCTTTTATTGTTTTATTTAAATTATGTAAATAGCAGTCAATGCAGTCAAAGAACATTCGTAAAAAACCTCATTTCTATTCTATAATCTAACCCAAACATCCTGTCCGCATGAACCAATCAAGTTCTAGCAAAACGGAAGAAGAAAAAATGACATATTTCAAAACAAATCAAGACTTTATAGAAGAAAGTGAAAAATAAATAAAACCATGTGCTTTCATCTTAATTTATCATTAGAAAAGTAATAGATCATTTTAATTGTATCTTTAGAGCATTTTTACTAAGAATTTGATTTATATTACTAATAGTGAGATACCGCTTCCACAATGCCGATTGTTATGGGCAAACACGAATGGGATCGCATCCGTGAATGGACGAAAACAGACCGAGAAGATCCGGAGATAGTACGACGGCGTGACTACATCAAGTACTTGGACACGACCAGTCGTAAAATGACGAAAAGTTGGCCAAACTCGTTAGAGGTAAGTAAATAGTTAAAGGCTGGTATACAAAACTACGATGCGACGTCGCATCGCAAAAATGTGCGAGTTTCCTCTAAGCATCGCAAGAACTTGCGAATTGATTCACATCGCGCATCAAAATCTTATCTTCCCAAAATATTCTTTGTTTCTTTTTCCTGTATCTCGTAAGTATAGGAGAGCCATGCTTCGGTACGAGTGGATCGGGTCGACCGGATCGATACCGCAGCCTCACAGAAAACCGACGTGAAGCAACGCTTGCGTTGTGTTTCGTCGTGTGAGTGAGGTTACCGGAGGCCCAATTTATTACCCACTCTCCCTCTCCCTTGTTTGCCCAATCCTCGAATCCCCCATAATCCGCAAATACCAAACAATTTGTTTGTTTTGTCAAGTCAGTTTTTTAAACGCAGTTTTATTTTATAATTTTTAGTGTAAAGCTACATAGACTCGTTTTCCCACTTATCATTCACATAGGTGTAAAGTTCTCATCAATACAAATTAATCAAGCCCAAACACAAGGTAGTACTGTACTATAATGCGTTGAAGAGCTCTCTGAACAATTACACTTCTTCATCATCAGACCCTTAATGACAGTTCCACTCCATCTAGGTGTAAAGTTCTCATCAATACAAATTAATCTAGCCAGTGCCGGATTTATATAGTTTTTGTGTGTAAGCCATTTTTTTTCGCCGCCCCGTGTATACTTTTATTTTTGAGAGGGAAAATCACCTATCTCCCGCCCTACCAGGTGAGTGGTAACTGACTAAAAACCACCCGGTTCCTACCCCTGCTCTTCGACTCGGAGCCCATGGCTTTTATCATCTTAAATCGAGTGACCGTCCTCTAAAATCTGCCGCCCCTAGGACGCTGCCGCCCCTAGGCCGTGGCCTATACGGCCTATTTATAAATCCAACACTGAATCTAGCCCATTATTATGCGACTACTTTACTATAATGCGTAGACGATTTCCATCGACTGTCTGTCGACCCCAGACCCATATCAAAGACAAGAAGAAAAACATAATAGACGCACTACTCGCCCCTACAATTTTAGAAAGTACCCCTCGGTTTTCCCTAGGATTTCATCATCAGATCCTGAGCTGATGAAAAAATGCCTCCCACCACTCCCACCCTCTCGAGTCGAGAATACAACCTTTCAAACAAAAAAAAATTGGAAATCTATATATATAAAAGAAAGTCGTGTTAGTTACACTATTTATAACTCAGGAATGGCTAAATCGATTTGAATAAAAATTGGTGGGGAAGTAGGTTAGAACCAGGAGACGGACATAGGATACTTTTTAGCCAATTCTTTTTTTTACTTTTTACCGAAAATCAAGAACGGGAACGGGAAATATCGGGATTGCGCGTACGAAGTCGCGGGCAGAAGCTAGTCGGTTCATAAATGGCGGAGTAATCGGTGAACAAACAAAAAAAATCCGTAAAAATCAGTATTAATACCTATATAGATTTTACTTATTATATAATCATCCAGAATGTGAACAAACGCAACGAAGAACTGCGTCAAGCCCGCATTCAAGTCGCAGAGCAAGCCAACACCAAGTTCTACACCAAATACCTGAGGAAGAAGAAAGAGGAGCAGGAAAGACTCATGTATTCCGCTAGAGACGTGGTCTTCAAGAATAAAGATGCACCGAAGCAATTACTTAGGTGAAACTCTTAGAACTTTATTAATGACTTGTATTAGTATCTATTAGTCACAGTTCTGCTTCAGTCTTAGTCCATTCACACACTCCAGTTCGGAGCTGACTTCTGCCTGCTAGCTGGCATCTGGAGCGTGTGAAACGTATGACTAAATCAATCATAATTTCTATCATCCCTCAGTGCAGTAATAGAGACTGTGATTCTGAAGGAGCGAGAAGTACAAATGAAATTCTTAAATGAGCGGCGTGAAGAAATTGCTGCGCAGAAAAAAAAGGACGACGACGAAATCATAAGACAGGCCAAGGAGTTTGAGGAACTTCAGGAACTCAGAAAAAGGAGGAGACGAGAAGTGAACTTAAAACATCAGAAGGATATCCTTGACCAGTGAGTATGACAGTCGAGTTGCACCAACGCAACACCAGCATAACTATGGTTCATTTACTTACACTTACAAGTGATTAGTTAATTTACTTAGTAAGTGATTTGTCCCACAGGGCCCGCGAAGTTGCAGAACGTAATCGAATCGAATACGAGACGGAACTGAATCTTCAGAAGATTGACAACATTAAGGCCAATGAGCAGATGGAGGCTATCAAAGAATTTGAAGAGAAATTTGTAAGTTCACACTGTAGGTAGTTGTGTTATCGAGGTTAGAAATTTACCACCGGCAAGTATCAATGTGACTTTTTCCGATGTATATTTTACTCTCTAAGATTATTTAGACCCCACTGACAAATTGTGAAGGAAAACATCTTGAGGAAAACTGAACTTTTATAATTTGGCATAAGCGAACCCGCATTAAGCAAGCGTGGTGATAAATGCCTTAAACCCATTTCGGTGCGAGAAAAGGCCTTTGCTCAGCAGTGATGCGATTGTAAATAGTTATTAATTTATCAAGTCCAAGCTTCATAGTTTGAAACTTGATAAATTTATAACTAATCATACCTATTCATATATTAATAGGTAGGTCATGAGATGATTTCTGGATCGAGAAAAATAAAAGAATTTTTCGGTTTTCGTAAATGTCGAATTTTATAAATAATGAGCAAACTAATTTTAAAATTACGTCGTTTCTCAGAAATTAGAGGAGAAAGCTCGCATCTTTCGAGATATAGATCGTTCCCGAAAAGAGACTTTGGCAAGGAGACGCGAGCAAGAGGCCCGGGACAAGATGGACGATCGCCTGATGGAAGTATTACTCAAGTCTCGCTGTAGAATCGAGCAGAGACGTAAGAAAACCGAAGCTGACGTAAGTACCTATACTTACATATAGGTATACTATATGCTATATATATATACCTATCTTAGACAGAGACTGAGATCAAGCCGCGACTGGGGCTGAGGCCGGAACCGACACCGAGATCGAGGCCGAGACTGAGGCTGGGACTTAACCTGAGACTGAGAGACTTAAGCCGACACTGAGTAACTAAGACTGACTGACCGACTTACCTGTATAATTATAATAATCCAAGAATTTGGATAGAATCTTAAATGTATGTCTATGTATGTATGTTAGGTGAAAAACGAGAAGCTTCGTGTGTTGGAGCAAATCAGCCAACGTTTGGAGTCTGGTGACGCGGCTCGAGAGGCTAAAGAGCAGGCAATATTTGATAAGGCCGTCGCTGAAAAGAATGCTCAGTAAGTCTATATTGTACCTAGTGTTTGGGCCAATAAGCTTGTGATGTTTCTGCTACAGTGACGGTGCTTGATTTATTTATAAACCTTTATTATTAGGCAACTTACTTAGGCCCGTAGATATATGTATACCTTACAGACTAGCATAAATATAATAACAGATATTCTGGAGGCTTGCGTTAGGCGGCTACAAGTCGGCTTCTATTTTTAATATTTTTTTGTATATACTGTGATATACTTGATACTTTTAGTAATTTAAAAAGTTGAAAGTTTGTGCATATTTGTATGAGTACACTTTATTTGTATTAGTAATGAATAAATATGAATAACTGGGTGGGTGGAGTGACTTACTGATCCCAGATATCGCTTTCTATTAATCACCCCTGTGTCCATCAAGCCCAAGTTTCCTCACGATGTTTTCCTTCACCGTTTGACAGTGAATCCTCGAAGAAAATATATAATTATATATAATTCACGTGAGCGTTAGTAGATAATAATATTAATTTTAAATGTATTGTTAGATTTGTAACATTAATGGAACATTATAAGGTTCGTGTTTAACCTCTGTAACTTCTGTATACAGTATATATAATATGAGAATTTATCTTCTCTGCGCAGAGACCAGGCGCGTCTTGATGCTCAGCGGAAGAAAGAAGAGATGTTCCGTCAACAGAAGGTAGAGAGCCGCCAGCAGTTCCTTAGAGAGCAAGAACAGAAGCTGCACGAGTTCAACACTACGCGCCAGTGGGACATTATGAACAGGTCAGTTGAAAGAAGGAAAAAGTAGTAAAATGCAGTTAGCAGGTAGTTAGTAAAATACAGGTTTGACATCTGGAAAAGAAATAATAGTTAAGAGTAGGTACTTTATATCACAAAGAAAATACATTTAAAATGTATGATAGGGATATCATACAGTTTAATACCTACTAGCTAGGAAATAGTTATATCTTTACGTAGCTTACAAACTATTCTGCTTTTTTCAAATGGTAGTAATGCGCATTGCCCATAGAAAAATAGAGGGTTGGTTTTTAGAAAAATGTAATAAAAATGATACACTTTGCTTGCAGGTTTAAGAACGTTGAAATATATCAGGACTACCAAGAGAAAATCCGTGAAGAGAAGAAACGTAAGATAAAAGAGTACAGAGAAGATATACTCAGATTGTGGGTAAGTGTTCTGTTCATCTTATATTGTTCAGACTAAACTATAAGCGTTGGATACCTTCATGATTACTCATCCATGATCCATCAGTCAAAAGATGACCTTTAATCAGATCCTAGACTGAAGAATTGGTAGTTATGTAACATGTGGCTGGTTTGTGTGAGCCGCGAGTTGTTGTTACGGGCCTGGGTGTGATGTGTAGGTACATAATTATGTGAATTTATAGTGTTATAAGAATAACGATTGCACGGTTGGTGCGGTGGCTGGGCAGCTGGCCTATGGTGCTGGTGCATCGTGTCGCGGGTTCAATACCAGCACGGAACAACACTGTGTGATCCGCATATTGTTGTTCCGGGTCTGGGTGACATTGCGTACGTGAACTTGCATGTTTGTAAACGCATTCACGACACAGGATAAAATCTTAGTGAGGGGAAACGTTTTTTTAATGAATGAAAAGAAAAGAGAAGACTGCCTCGTTGACCGAGTGGTCGCAAGTGCGACTGCTGGGCAAGGGATCTCGGGTTCGATTACCGGGTCGGGCAAAGTATTACTGGGTTTTTAAAAAAAATCTCAGTAGTAGCACGGAGTCTGGAAATGTGCCCGGTATATGGCAATAGGCTCACCCCCTATTACATGGGACTCATAACATAAATAGTGAAAAGTGGGTGTTACATTGTACAGTGTCATAATGTGCACCTCTGCCTACCCCTTCGGGGATAAAAGGCGTGATGTTTATGTATGTATGAAAAGAAAAGAATAAAAATTATTGTTGGATTACTTCATAGAAAGAACGCGTGGACCGCGATACTAAGGAGCGTGACGAGTCGCGCTACTTCTACGGTGAGCTGGCGGAGAAGAAGTTGAGGGACGCCGACAACAGACTGCTCACACACGCCGAGCACCTACTGCAGGAGGCCAGGGAACATGGCCGCCCGGAGTACGCACTGCATAAAGCGATCGATGTGAGTCTATTCAAATATTATTCGGCTACCTACTCTCTGTACAAATTAGTGATTCGTAACTGGCAAACTTCATACACCTCCATGTAACTGTGTTTGAGGAGAGAGATTTGTAATATTTTCTGTTGCGGGAGTTAACAAATCGAACAAATTAAAAGTTATTAACGATCAGTCGTTCTGAATAGGCGGCGGAATCTGTCACATCTTTTTAATTATATATCAATCTTATTCATTTATAATAGAGTCCATAAGCTATTCCCATCCCAATTGGTCAAAACGTCAGTAACGAACTCTTGTAATTGCTTTGCTGTTGCGGGGGTCCATGGGCTACGCAGATTGCTTACCATCACCATACAGCTGATCTTCTTGTTTGCCACCCTACACGCCTACCATAATAAAAAAAAAATGTTATTTCCCAGAATTACTGCAACCTATACCGCCTGTACCCGATGCCGGACCTCCCCAAGTCGCTACAGGAACACATGCGCGAGTACGCGCCACGCGACGGGTCGCGGCCCGACCCCGACTACCGCGAGCCGCCGCCGCCGCCGCCCGCGCCGCCAGTTTTCCAACCCACTACCTTCACTGCTCAACCTGGGAAGAGGGATGGGATGCAGACTGCTACGGTAGGTAACATCGACATCATCTCAGCTCAGGTTCACCCACTGCTGGGTGTAGGCATCCTTCTTTACTTTCTTTATAAAAAAGAATTAATGAAGCACTTCATCATCATCAACACCAGCCCGTAATAGTTATGGACTACAGACCTCCTCTGAGGGAGTTTGCAGTTCAGTATCATAGAGCACTGCTGCCCGCTCTCTGTTGATTATATAGGCCCCTACTCGGCTCACCAAGAGGAGGATTCCTTTATTATACTATTTTTTTTTTATAGCCTGCGCCCCCTGCTGCAGAGAAAAAGGAAAAGAATGAAGATTACAAGAGAGCTGCGCCGGCTAATGGTCTCCAGAGGAAGAACATAGAGGTAAAATATTATCAAATGGAGTTTTGATTGATTGAGATTGATAATGGAAATTGGCTACATTATAAATTGTATTTTGTATTCCAGGAACCATTGTCGCTGCCCCCAATCTCAGTAGTACCGTGCACGACCGAAGCGTGTCGATGTGAACTAAAACCAAAAACGAAATGAAACGACTGTAGTTTACAAAATATTTACTTTTATTAACATAATTATCAATTTACTTTAGAATGTGTTTGTCAAGTTAGACCTCCCACACATTAGCGGCTTGGCACGCGGCTGTGACTCGCATTACACATGAATTTCAATATTAAACACTTGAATATTGAGATTGAAATATCTCTGCGTAGTTACACCCAGCGACCATGTCGCGAGTGTGCGCGAGGTCTGTGTAGAGAGCTTGTATGGCACGAGTGATGTTATACAAGTGTGACTAGATAATTGGTGGTGTCAAATTGTAAGTGTATGTAGTAAAGCTAGTCTCGGTCCTAAACAGTGGGTTTTACTTAAAATATAACAATTTTGAAACTAATACTAGAACTTAATTTACCTAAATCTTTGGTCGCAATGAGTGTAGACACGTAGTTTTACAATTTGCAAAAATATTTTAATATATATATATTAATGAAGATTCGTGACCTATATGTAGTGCTTGTGCTTACACTGTTACATTTGGCGGGTAAGTCGAACAGATTTAGTGATAACAAGATATTGTATAATTTTGAATATGAATACAATAAATAGATCTATCAAAGGAGATTTCTATAACCAGTCCAAGTTGACTAAAACGCATTCATATAAGAGACATGTTGATCTTACCTATCAAGGTGTAACAGTGGTACGTTTAAACAGTGAAGGTATATAAACAAGTGGACCTAACAATATCATGTACTCGCTCTCTCATACACTGGAATAGTATATAAACACAGCTTCGTAATACTCTCGGTTTGCTTTGGCTTACACAATATTGTCTAGCATTACAACTAATGCTATTGCATTACGTCAAAATATACAAAAAATATCTAAACTTAAAACTGTATTGCAATCATTGAATTTCTAATAAAAAATGTACCAGACATATAAAAAAGAAATATTAATGTCAATAGGACGCACCCGCAATAGCATTCGTTTTACAATCAAACAAAATATTCTAGACAATTTTCTTCTTGTTCGCGCGACACTTGATTGTCGTAGTAGGAATGTTTTAAAACACGAATGTGTGCAATATGAACTGTATTGCTGTAATGACAGGAACCAAATGATGGTTTAATGAAACTCCAAAGAATTTACTTCAAAAGCTATGGTGTTTTGATCGAGGTGGATTGGTATCGAGTGGCGCGCGTACAAGAAGTTGTCGAAACAATTAGACGGAACGTTCGTATCGGTCGTGACTTCGTGTCGCGTTACAACTAACTTAATCTAGCTTGTACTGTGCGTTCGTATTATAAACTAAGGATTTACGTCAAACGTTACACTAAAATATTATGCTAAACATTATTATTTATACAATGGCATGAATTTGTGCTGGCTGGCATAGCCCGTGGTACATTATACTGCATCGTATGAGCAAAGTGATCATTTTACATCATAAAGGCACTGACGTTTTTCAAAACAAGAACAGTTTGAAAAAGAAACGTTATAAGCTAACATCACATTTATCACACAAGTCATAAAGTCTGTATTTGAAAACATCGAAATAAGTAACTTGCCTTGTGACAATATGAGTCCAGCTTTAGTAACAATCACATAAGAAACAACTTTATATTCACATTGGTACCGTATATATTGCTCTGAACTAGTCTGAAGGTAAGGAATACTTAGTCTACATCATGAGGGCCATTCCGTTAATGTAACTAAAAGGCTGGTACTAGTAAAATATAATATTTTAACTATCTATTCGTAGAAAAGTAAGCCTAATAATACGTCAATATACTTTAATTTATCGTGTCGAAATACATACATCTAAATATTTATTTACAATGTTGTATTGGAGTGAGAGGTACTATGGAGTCGGGCAAGGTTCGATATAGGGCATCACATTGTTCGTCCAGCACTCACTCGAGGGAACTAATAGGCGGAGTGGCAACAACCGAAACATGGAATTAGGTCCTCCGAATTGTGACTCCTTCATTCTAATGTGGACTTTATATCTATTCACAATAATAGCAACTGCTTTATACATTTACACCCGCACCAGAATGAACGGAGTCATAACACATAACATTAAATCTAAACAATAAATTAAGTAACACAAATAAACTAATGAATTTGGCACTAATCTAATACTTATTTCTAACCTGGCCATGAAATGCATTGCGAAACATTGAAATGCTTTACATAATTTAAATATTTATCAATATCTACTTAAAATTTTATACGTCATCGTTTAACAGTCACGTAGAATTTGTCATGAGATTATAAGAATGAAATTAATTCTCAAACAGATCATTGGAAAATTCGGTGGAAACATTTAATTTGTGGTAGCACACTTAAGTGTAAACAAACTGCGTTGGTAATAACATTATTATTACTGTTATCTCTTGATATTGGATACAATATTATATCATTCACACTAATATTCATATAAATTTCATAGCAAAACCCATATAATTGAGACTTATAATGTCTGTAAAAGACTTATCTCAATGAGTGGCGTGTGGCACTGCGGTGCTATATACTGCGTGAGATGTAAACCTCAGTGGGGTGGGGGGCGCGTGACGTCACGTCCGGCGTCAAGGCACGTCGCGTGAAGCGTCCATGGCGTGGTTAAGGCAGCGACTCACTAACTCCAACTTGTTCAGGTACGCGGCCGCGACCTCGCCGCGAGGAGAACTGTCGAGTTGAAATGTACAACTATGTAGACTGATCTGATGATAAATGTTGTGTTTTAAAGTAAGCAACTTACCTTAGGATGAATGGGTCGTTTTGTGGTGAGTTTGGAGTGTACGGCGATCTTCTCACAAAGTCTCCCACTAGGAAAAAATTGCATCATATTATATTATTCTTTTATTATGCCAAAAGTCACTAAACTTAGATCAATATAGTGCAAATATTATGTGGGTGATGTCTTACGTCCAGGCGAGGCGGGCAGGTTGAGCCTCATCTCATGTTTGAGCACTCTCCGTGCGAGCGTGTCGGGCGCGGCGCGGGCACTAGCGGGCGGGCCGCGCTCGCGGGCCGGCGGGGACGTGCCGCCGTACTGACTGTTACTGCACACAAACACACTTACTTTTAATTCAACGTTCATGACCTAACCATACCTGGTGAAAAATGGGTAAATTTGCCTACTCGTTATAAAATGTCGCCACAATGATATATCGTAGCTTTTACTAAAGAGTGCCGTAAGATATGAAGACACAATAAAATATCAGTTAGAGAAATAGCATTATAAAAGTAAGTAATGTATGAGTACGGTGCGGGCGTGGCGTGGGGCGGGGCCCGCAGTATGCAGTGCGCCGACAGCGCGCGCACGTGCTGGCGGCGCCGCACCAGGAACCCCATGCGGACCACGATCACCACCGCCGTCGCTATACATCTGCAACCAACAATATTGTATTCACCACGCGCTATAGCTAAAACCTTTGCCAATTACACTCATAAATATGCCCCAAGAATCACAATCAATCAATATACGTTACCAAAAATTTTAAGAATAAAAAAGTATTAACATCTAACTTACAGACTATAGACTGTTAGCCCAAAACATGAGCAAACTAAAGGAGCTAATCATAACAATTTAGTCCAGAACAATGATCACGTTTAGACCAAACTAACATGGGATGCTTTTTAGCCAAGTGGAGTAACGAAAAGTTTTATAGATCATTCTAAGTGGTGTTTTATGGTAGTGGGGATAACTATATTGACGTAAACCAAGAACTTACTTGAAACGCTTCTTTCCCTTGCTAACTTCAGGCGCTCTTAACACGGGTAGTCTTTTCTCAAACTCCGTGTATCCCGCTAACACTCGCTGCAAGTACCGCTTCTGCCAGACGAGAGCTTTGCGGCAACTCTCTAAGCGGAGGCAACGACCGTGCAAGTAACGTATCTGAAAATAAAATATCATCTATTTTAGTATATTTTCAAAGACACTTGTATCTGATAAAGGCGATATGAAAAAAGTTCCTAAAGAAATGAAAATAAAACAAAACCTTTTTCCTAATCAAAAAACTAATACCGTAGACGCCTTGAAATTTAGAACATCATGTTGACATTACAATTGTCGCTGGGATGTGACACGAAATACGTCATATTCCGCGTTTATAGTTTTATATTTATTTTATATAACATAAATTCTGTTGTTTTATAATGAAAACACAGTAAGGAGCAGCCGGTGGTAATATGGAGGCACAGAAGAGCGATGCACCAAAACTGCCGGATATGGTGTAAGTACAAATCAGGTACACGAATATGGGTGCTCAGACTTGTGATACTATGTTTTATAGTATGTTAATTCTGAAGAGCTGTCGTGAATATTGAAGTAGTATCCATTATTGCAGCATGTGTGGGGATCATCCGTCTTTCACGAAGACGGAGCTCAACGTGAAAACAGATGGAAAGGTGGATGACAAGGACAAGGCGAAAGACAAATCGTTGTCCTATACTAAAATTACGCCATCCGTATGTACTATGACGATCCTAATTTTGTAGATAGCTTGTCGAAATAAGGGTGTAAAGATCTGGGGGCACGGGACGGCCTCTGCACAGTCTAGTAGTTGTTTGTCGACTCTCTAGGGACTACGTTAAACACGTTGTTTAGAAGTTTATTGGCAACATTACTAGAGAGAGAGTAAGCAAGTTTAGAGTTAAACTCTCAAGATTTTGTTTTATAGTAAAATAGTTTTTTATTCTCCATGGACTCGTGTCCGTGCCGTTGTCATTAATTACAGTTAAACTCGGGTTAAGAATAAGAGAAATGATGGATTGACGATGAGAATTTAGGAGCAAATTAAGTGTGCATTAGGCATCTCGCACGGAGCGCGGCGAGTCGGGCAGCTCGACGAGTGCGCGCGCGCGCGGCTCGGAGCACGCGCTGCGCCTGGCCGACGCGCGCCGCCGCGTGCGCTCGCTGGACGCCGCGCAGCGCCCCGACACCGACCTGCAGGCCACCGGCAACCGGGCGCTCGTGCAAGGTACTCCTTTTTTATATTTCATGGGCCGATGTTTGACCACTATCTCGCCTGATGGTAAGCGATGATGCGGTCTACGATGGAGCACGTCGTCCCATAAGCAACCTATTCCCTCGGGCCTTGAAGACACCCAGGTTATACCCTTCGGGAAATACAGACTCTGCCTCATTGCATCCTACGAGTACCGTGTCATAGACTCTATTTTGCGTGATATATACCTACTTATCCCTACACGAGAATCCATCTTCAACCTCTCAAACTTTCTCAAAGAATAAAAGATGATTAGTTTTCATGTTACAATCCTATATTTAGTTCCCGTTTCATAAGAGTCATGACAAAAGAACAATCAGTTTGTCAATAAGAGAAGCGATATGTTTAACCTGTCACTACTTGTTATAATGATTCCGTTTTCATTTATTGTAACTATTTTTAACCTTATGCATGCAACCTAAAGGTTTATGTATCAATACCGTAGTTGTAGTAGTATAAAGTCCCCCTGTCCCCAGCGGCGCTGGGCAGCTTCCGCTGGCCGCCGTACCTGCTGTGCGTGTGGGTGCTGGTGCTGGTCCTGACGCACGTGCTGCACTGCCTCGTCAGTCTGCTCGAGCGCGCGCTGCCCGCTCTCAAGTACGATACGCACTTACACATGTATTTGTTTCATCCAAATCTTTACATTGATACATAGTTGTATACAATTTTGTCTAAAATTAAGATGATTCAGAGCGAGAGATTGGAATCGGTAGATAGTTTAACATCTAAACTAAAGTTACTACCCTCGTTCTGAACTTCTCCCAGTCAGGCAGTCTCTATTATGCCTTTAGTCATATGTCATTCTGTCTCCTGCGTAAATTCACGAGGGAAGTGAAAACAATTGTTTTCTTTTCTTCCCTTCTAATAACATCTTTTAATTTATTTTGTTGCGGGATCCAAGACAGTTATATGTTATAGTTCTTGGGACGCGTCGGACTTCAGTGTTCCGGTATGTTCATGGTCATATCTACTGTAGATCCACAACTGAGTTACAACAGTTTTGCAAGCTTGCGTTGATTGGTCTTTAATTTAGTTACATTGTCTGTACATAACGTAATTATTATTATTGTGAAAGTGTACGGCGCATAGTCTGGCCGGCCACAAGTCCGCTGTGTGTGCAGACGGTGCAGCCAGTTGTTCCGGTCGTGGACGGAGGAGTGCTGGCGCGGCGCGGGCGGCGCGGGCGGCGCGGGCGGCCCCCGCAGCCAGCGCGTGTACCCGGCGGGGCTGGCGGTGCTGACGGCGCTGCTGTACGCGGCGTACTTCTCGCTGTACGCGTGCTACGCCGTGGTGCTGTGGGCCATCGAGCCGCTGTGCGCGGACGACGACAAGCGGCCCGACGCGGAGCCGGCCGCCGTCACGGACTACGACGACATCGCGCCCGGGCCCGCGCCCGCCGCCGTCTAGGGCCCTACTGTCGTGCCTACCTGCCTCATTACGCTGTGTCGTCGACATTAAAATGACAATAACACCAGCCTTCCTTCTTTTTACTTGTATCTGGTATTCGGTACGGTTGCACACTTAATTGTGTATGTTTTTACCATTGAAAAGGCCCCTAAACTCTAAATATCGACTTTTGTATTAATAAAATAATCAGTTCTAATGCGCTTATCGAATATTTTTATCGTACACTTTGAACATCATGGCCAAAAGTCCTTTAAAGCTTATCACTTGAAACGATACGAAGTACCTCAGAGTAAGACAAATTATTTACGTCAAACGAATTATCCTATAATACCTCCGATCAAGTACCGCTTTACACAGATGTTTTACAAACTTTTATATTTCAATAAAAACATGCAGGCCAAATGCTATGGCCTAGTATACTTACGCAAATATCGGTACATTCGTATAAACCTTTAATTCATTATTTAATTAAACAATAATTATAAATCAGACACATCACTATAAAGTTCAGCCTTACATCTATAAACAGAAACATCGTAGAGAAGAGTGCAAGCATTTAATAGGACAGAGACTCACGGCGTGGTCGCGGTCGTCGCTAGATGTCGCGGTCTGCTCGTGCGCGGCCTGCGCGGGCGCAGTCTGCGTGTACGCATCTACGGCGGCGCGGCGCTGGCGCGGGCTGCCGCCGCTGCCGGTCGCCAGGCACCGCTTCAAAGCTGCTAACTCGCGAGACAGTTCTGACTTCGTGCTTTCGATTTCAGTCTGTTGATAATATAGACATACATGGGTTTATTCTTTATAATTAGACAAAAAACTTAAAAGCGGGAAGAATCTGTGAATATGTATGCTCGTGTGTGATATTATAACTCCTAATTGGATGACGAAATAGATATGATATGTCCAAACTTATTTGCTGTTCTTTATCTGTTTTTTTTTTAATAATAATTGAAGCAGTATTCTTACCAGTGCATCAACAACAGGTCGATGGTTTTGTGAGGAAGCCAGCTTCCTCTCCAGCTCAGCGATGGTCGTGCTTTGTGTATTGATTAACTCCTTGGAACGCAATAACTGGACGCCTGCGTCGTGTTTCAGTCTAAAACAAAACATTTACATTACAGTTAATATTAAAAATGTACTTATTATCATAAAGCTTATTTTTCGGGGAATCAGAACCGAAGCATATCGAAGCGAAAATCCGATTATAGTTAACAAATTCAACCGCGTACATGTGTACAATAGCAGTGGCGTGCAGTCCATATAGGCGAAAAGGCTTTGCCTGACTTAATAATATCGTGAATATATAACATACATAAAATGTACAAACGCGTTTATTAAGATTCAATAATATAATAAAAGTTTGTAAAAAAACGGCTAACATAAATATACATTCACATATACTATACACGGACCGCACGCCTTTGTAAAGCAATGAATGCGCCCCGTACGCACCACGCATGCGCAGCTATTCCTTAAATCTTGGTTGCCAGTTGTGACGTCACAAAAGTAATGTACTAAAAGTATGCACCGCGCATGCGTGAAGATCACGACCATAGTCACGTGACAGAATAACCATTCATAATTATATTACACGATTCCTTTTGATTGACAAAATTTTGACAACTAAAAAATTAGAGGATCGTTCGTCCATTACTTGGAAAACGATCGTATTTTATTAAGAATTCTAAAACAATAAAACAGCAACAAGTTATTGTATTTTTAAAAACAATTAAATCATAAAAGGTTTTATATTGATAAAATCTGTATATCGTAAAGTACTGATGAATGGAGTACACCAGCGCCATCTATTGAATTTTTTGTTGAAACTTCTGAACTCGTTCGATATAATGCGAATGTATTTTTATAAATGCGTATTTAACAAATATGTCTCAAGTGTTTTAATTAAAGCTTAACATTTTTACGCGTTATCGGTTTATAGAAATTTTAAACGAGGAGTTGACTTTATTATTATAAAAGTTAAAAGGAAGTTATTGAAACGTCAAGATGGCGCCATTTACAACGTTTCAAATTATATGAATGAATGTTTTTTAGTATGAAATATTGGTTTAAGACGATGACGCAATTTAATTTCACTTACTAAATTAACCTTTGTTTTTTTGTAAATTAAACGCTGCATTACCTTAATTTTTAAGCTACATTTTTTTTATAATAAACACTCAATTGACTATTGGTAATGACTTCAATTCATTTCCAATGTTTTCGGCAATTTCGGCCATATTGTTTTCATGTGATGTGCGATCGCTTTGTTTATGTTTCGTTTAAATTATTAGGATATTTAATCATACGATATTTAGTTGCCTACCCTGTCTCGAAAACCTGTGCACGCCACTGTACAATAGTACACATTACTTACAAGATTTAAAAAGACGCGGGAGAATGTGCACGTACGCGCACGCGCTGATGAGCGTAATTTTGATGAATCTTCGACTCTACGCCCATATAAATATAAGCTTCAACATAGGCAACCTTTTATCTCAATATGCTTACTCTTAAAGGATAGGGTCTTGTCTGAGAGCACACATAAGTCCAATGGCTTATGCGTAGTAGGCAACCGCCTTGGCGGCTAACACGCCGATATCATGCCTGCATTAACTGCAGGCAGACTTTTGGGATCACGGGCGCCCAGAGTGGGCACTTCAGGCGCCCACCCAGTGACCTCAGGGAAGACGGTGGCACAAAGGTCACGTGCCACTAAAAAGCTAGGTCTTTCGAAGGTTTTACTATTTCATAAAAAAATGGTGTGTAGGTTACCATCAATATGAGAACCTACATAAATAAGAAGAGGTCAATTATGCGCAAGTCACAGGTGTAAAAGTTGAAATATAGAGAACAACTGACCTTTTGATCTCGGCGAGTTCGGTCTTCAGAGCCGAGCAGTGTTCGTTCCTAGCGTTGAGTTCCCGCTCGTACTGCAGCCGGGCGTGGTCCAGCATGGCCTGCACGTCCATCATACGACTGCGCTCCACTTCTAGCTTGGACTTCAGCAGGGATACCTCGCCTTTTAGCCGCTCGTTGTTTTCAATCTGTTGGGCAATAGCATGGTTGGTGCAATATTATAATGAAATAGTTTAAATTTATTTGGATCTCAGGATAAGTATTCTCTTGAAGTGGAAACTATAAGAATGATACATAGTCATTTTCGTGGTGGATCTTTAGAGAGAGTTAAACTGAGTACTAAATACTGTACTTGTCATTTGGGCATAATTTCACTACTCGCATACCCCACGACTACACTGTAAATCTTAAAGAAACTAATCAAAAAGGCCCCAAAACAATAAAATGAAATTCCGAATACTCTAATGAAATTATTTCGATAAATTCGACTGAGGGCCGATTTTTCCAACGTTAGCCAAGTTTTATGACAGGAACAATTTTGAATATTTGACAATTCTTCCTGTCAACTGTCAATTTTATTCTACAGATATGAATTTTAATTATGTTGAATGAAAAATCAGCCCTTAACAGAAGAAATAAGTTTCAAATTCCTTTACTGTAAATATTACATGGGCCACAACTTCATGGCTAGGACACTCTAAGAAATCGGCGAAAGAATGCCATTAATGTACCTCATGTTGCAGCTGTGCGTGTTTCGGGTCAGTAGTGTCGAGTGCCTGCCTCTGTAACTGCGCGAGGCGGGCGCGGGACTCTTGTTCTCTCTGTTGGAGTTCTAACTCAGACTGCATCGATGCTTCGAGACGCTTCTTGAGGATCTGGATCATGTTGGAGTCTTGGCTCTGGAGATGAATAGTAGGATGTAAGACACACGAAATTATTATACAAAATGCAAGTTTAATAAAAGTACCGGCCCGGCACACCGTTATATGAAGACTGGTCTTTATTCTAATTTAAGGAGGGAATAGCAATACGATACGACGCCCTACGCACACAGCCATGCACATGCATTTACATAGATGTGTACGTAAGTGTCCCTACACGCCCATTGTGCAAAAATTCTAAGTAGTAATAGTATCAAGAAGTTTGGAAATGTGTCATTTCGCGCTTTAGACTGTATGTAAATGGGTTAGTTGCGTAGCCCAATGAGTAGTACAATGTGTGTCGGTACCTGCAGCGAGTGCGCGGTGTCCCGCTGGGCGTCCAGCAGTAGCTGCAGGCGGCCGGCGTTGTCCCGCTCGGCGTCGTAGCGCAGTGAGTGAGTAGTACAATGTGTGTCGGTACCTGCAGCGAGTGCGCGGTGTCCCGCTGGGCGTCCAGCAGTAGCTGCAGGCGGCCGGCGTTGTCCCGCTCGGCGTCGTAGCGCAGTGAGTGAGTAGTACAATGTGTGTCGGTACCTGCAGCGAGTGCGCGGTGTCCCGCTGGGCGTCCAGCAGTAGCTGCAGGCGGCCGGCGTTGTCCCGCTCGGCGTCGTAGCGCAGTGAGTGAGTAGTACAATGTGTGTCGGTACCTGCAGCGAGTGCGCGGTGTCCCGCTGGGCGTCCAGCAGTAGCTGCAGGCGGCCGGCGTTGTCCCGCTCGGCGTCGTAGCGCAGTGAGTGAGTAGTACAATGTGTGTCGGTACCTGCAGCGAGTGCGCGGTGTCCCGCTGGGCGTCCAGCAGTAGCTGCAGGCGGCCGGCGTTGTCCCGCTCGGCGTCGTAGCGCAGTGAGTGAGTAGTACAATGTGTGTCGGTACCTGCAGCGAGTGCGCGGTGTCCCGCTGGGCGTCCAGCAGTAGCTGCAGGCGGCCGGCGTTGTCCCGCTCGGCGTCGTAGCGCAGTGAGTGAGTAGTACAATGTGTGTCGGTACCTGCAGCGAGTGCGCGGTGTCCCGCTGGGCGTCCAGCAGTAGCTGCAGGCGGCCGGCGTTGTCCCGCTCGGCGTCGTAGCGCAGTGAGGAGTAGTACAATGTGTGTCGGTACCTGCAGCGAGTGCGCGGTGTCCCCTGGGCGTCCAGCAGTAGCTGCAGGCGGCCGGCGTTGTCCCGCTCGGCGTCGTAGCGCAGTGAGTGAGTAGTACAATGTGTGTCGGTACCTGCAGCGAGTGCGCGGTGTCCCGCTGGGCGTCCAGCAGTAGCTGCAGGCGGCCGGCGTTGTCCCGCTCGGCGTCGTAGCGCAGTGAGTGAGTAGTACAATGTGTGTCGGTACCTGCAGCGAGTGCGCGGTGTCCCGCTGGGCGTCCAGCAGTAGCTGCAGGCGGCCGGCGTTGTCCCGCTCGGCGTCGTAGCGCAGTGAGTGAGTAGTACAATGTGTGTCGGTACCTGCAGCGAGTGCGCGGTGTCCCGCTGGGCGTCCAGCAGTAGCTGCAGGCGGCCGGCGTTGTCCCGCTCGGCGTCGTAGCGCAGTGAGTGAGTAGTACAATGTGTGTCGGTACCTGCAGCGAGTGCGCGGTGTCCCGCTGGGCGTCCAGCAGTAGCTGCAGGCGGCCGGCGTTGTCCCGCTCGGCGTCGTAGCGCAGTGAGTGAGTAGTACAATGTGTGTCGGTACCTGCAGCGAGTGCGCGGTGTCCCGCTGGGCGTCCAGCAGTAGCTGCAGGCGGCCGGCGTTGTCCCGCTCGGCGTCGTAGCGCAGTGAGTGAGTAGTACAATGTGTGTCGGTACCTGCAGCGAGTGCGCGGTGTCCCGCTGGGCCAGCAGTAGCTGCAGGCGGCCGGCGTTGTCCCGCTCGGCGTCGTAGCGCAGTGAGTGAGTAGTACAATGTTGTCGGTACCTGCAGCGAGTGCGCGGTGTCCCGCTGGGCGTCCAGCAGTAGCTGCAGGCGGCCGGCGTTGTCCCGCTCGGCGTCGTAGCGCAGTGAGTGAGTAGTACAATGTGTGTCGGTACCTGCAGCGAGTGCGCGGTGTCCCGCTGGGCGTCCAGCAGTAGCTGCAGGCGGCCGGCGTTGTCCCGCTCGGCGTCGTAGCGCAGTGAGTGAGTAGTACAATGTGTGTCGGTACCTGCAGCGAGTGCGCGGTGTCCCGCTGGGCGTCCAGCAGTAGCTGCAGGCGGCCGGCGTTGTCCCGCTCGGCGTCGTAGCGCAGTGAGTGAGTAGTACAATGTGTGTCGGTACCTGCAGCGAGTGCGCGGTGTCCCGCTGGGCGTCAGCAGTAGCTGCAGGCGCCGGCGTTGTCCCGCTCGGCGTCGTAGCGCAGTGAGTGAGTAGTACAATGTGTGTCGGTACCTGCAGCGAGTGCGCGGTGTCCCGCTGGGCGTCCAGCAGTAGCTGCAGGCGGCCGGCGTTGTCCCGCTCGGCGTCGTAGCGCAGTGAGTGAGTAGTACAATGTGTGTCGGTACCTGCAGCGAGTGCGCGGTGTCCCGCTGGGCGTCCAGCAGTAGCTGCAGGCGGCCGGCGTTGTCCCGCTCGGCGTCGTAGCGCAGTGAGTGAGTAGTACAATGTGTGTCGGTACCTGCAGCGAGTGCGCGGTGTCCCGCTGGGCGTCCAGCAGTAGCTGCAGGCGGCCGGCGTTGTCCCGCTCGGCGTCGTAGCGCAGTGAGTGAGTAGTACAATGTGTGTCGGTACCTGCAGCGAGTGCGCGGTGTCCCGCTGGGCGTCCAGCAGTAGCTGCAGGCGGCCGGCGTTGTCCCGCTCGGCGTCGTAGCGCAGTGAGTGAGTAGTACAATGTGTGTCGGTACCTGCAGCGAGTGCGCGGTGTCCCGCTGGGCGTCCAGCAGTAGCTGCAGCGGCCGGCGTTGTCCCGCTCGGCGTCGTAGCGCAGTGGTGATAGTACAATGTGTGTCGGTACCTGCAGCGAGTGCGCGGTGTCCCGCTGGGCGTCCAGCAGTAGCTGCAGGCGGCCGGCGTTGTCCCGCTCGGCGTCGTAGCGCAGTGAGTGAGTAGTACAATGTGTGTCGGTACCTGCAGCGAGTGCGCGGTGTCCCGCTGGGCGTCCAGCAGTAGCTGCAGGCGGCCGGCGTTGTCCCGCTCGGCGTCGTAGCGCAGTGAGTGAGTAGTACAATGTGTGTCGGTACCTGCAGCGAGTGCGCGTGTCCCGCTGGGCGTCCAGCAGTAGCTGCAGGCGGCCGGCGTTGTCCCGCTCGGCGTCGTAGCGCAGTGAGTGAGTAGTACAATGTGTGTCGGTACCTGCAGCGAGTGCGCGGTGTCCCGCTGGGCGTCCAGCAGTAGCTGCAGGCGGCCGGCGTTGTCCCCTCGGCGTCGTAGCGCAGTGAGTGAGTAGTACAATGTGTGTCGGTACCTGCAGCGAGTGCGCGGTGTCCCGCGGGCGTCCAGCAGTAGCTGCAGGCGGCCGGCGTTGTCCCGCTCGGCGTCGTAGCGCAGTGAGTGAGTAGTACAATGTGTGTCGGTACCTGCAGCGAGTGCGCGGTGTCCCGCTGGGCGTCCAGCAGTAGCTGCAGGCGGCCGGCGTTGTCCCGCTCGGCGTCGTAGCGCAGCTTGCACGTCTGCCAGTCCTGCACCAACTTGTCGCGGACCCTGCACCGTACACACGTCACGTTATTGACGACATATCGAAGCATAACTCTCCCACGTCAACTTTTCACGTCGGCACGAATGGGAAAGCTGTACCGCCTCACAGAAAACCGACGTAAAACAATGCTAGCATTGTGTTTTTCCTTTGTTCGTAGTCACGCCTCTGGTGTTTCATGTGTCCATCCTTACTTATATTATAAATCGGAAAGTGAGTTTGTTTATTTGTTTTGTTAGTTTGTTTGTTTAACGCCGTAACTACTAATCCTAATTTACTAATTTTTGCAGATGTATAGTTAGAAGTCCGGATTAAATAATAGGGTATTTTTATCCCGGAAAAATTTGATATTCCCGAGGAAAAACAAAAGTATTGGTATAGATGGCGCTGTGTGTATTGGTATATGTCACATTGGCTTTTAATCCTTTTGTGACGCGAGCGAAGCCGCGGGTAAAAGCTAGTATGCTATATAAAAAGAACTACGTCTTTGGATTTGACTTCAGAAAATCACATAATTGCTCTGTAGAAAACCAGCGTCTAAAATAGTTTAGTCGTAGTTTTTGTAAAGAAAAAAATGCAAAATGGAAGTTTAGTGTATTTTCGTACGAGTTGTGTTGTAATTATAACTATACCAGTACAGTACCTGTTAAGTTCAGCAATCAATGCGTCCTTATCCTTGAGCCTGGCCTCGAGGTTGTTGACCTGCATCGTTAGCTTGTCATTCTCAGTCCGCAGTCTATTGAGCCGGTCTGATGACGACGAGTGAATTGAGCTTGATGATCTGCAATAGCAAATATCATAAATATGTGGTCTACAGAACTAAGTAAATATTATGTATAAACGTGTACCAATCTGTATTTTTCTCATTATATTTTCGACTTTATATCAAAAGAATACAGTTAATAATCGAATGGAATTTGACATAAAGAAGTAGGTGGACTTGCTGGTATGCTTTTAACACAAAATCAATTTAAAAGCATGAATGTATACTTGTAATACTCACTTGGAAGTATTTAAAGCTAGACGAGGTATGTCTTCTCTTTCGTCACTGCTAGCTGATAGGATCTGTTGAGAAGAAATTGTATTAATGTTATTATTATTTTTTATTAATATGATTATAATAAGTAGCCATTTTTGCCATGTTCATCATGAGATATAAACAAACCAATTTAAAAGTTTACTCATATTAATTATTTGAGAAAAGCTCTACTAGTTTCAAGTTAAATCGGGACTCTTATTCCTACGCAGGGTGTGTGGCACAGCGATGATGCGTAGTCAACTAGAATAATACACGTGAGTAATGTCCGAATACTGAAACGTTACTCAACTTTAAGTCACGCTTAAGTATAGTTCTGTCACCACTAATTCTTTGTGAAATGACAGAGACGGCACGATATTTAAGCACGACTTAAAATTGAGTAACGTTTCAGTATTCCAGCATTAGTCGTATAGATTCGATTAGTCAAATAGATTTCATTTCGTACCTGTTCCATGATATCTTCGTCCAACGTATGTGAGTAGTCGAGTTGGTCCCTGAGGGCGCGCTCCAGTTCCGCGGTCGGGGAGCGGACTGCCAGGGCACGGTCTGACGACTGAGGGACCTCTCTACCGGGGGAAATACGGAGCCTGCAGCAAAGGACGATATTAGACGTTTTATGGTGAACTTAATAAATAAGGTAGACTTTAGTCAGATACTTATATGTATGTTTACACACCTGTCCACAAGTTCCCTTAAGTTTTCTAGTTCCACTTCCAGTTCCTGACATCTCTCCACTTTCTGACGAAGTTTATTCTTCAACTCGCCTACGTTTGACTCTTCTCGCATCCTGCAATAAAGAATATGAAAAATAACATTGTTGTTGAGTACAGACAACAGTATCTCCAACCTACTATTTTCTATCCAATCAGATTTTTAATTTTATCGTTTTCATATAAAGTTGAAAATCTAGTAAAAAAATTCACAGATGGGAATAGGTTGACCTGTTGCCCACTGCACATTCATCGTTCATCAAAATGTTTTTTTTTCAAACAATATAAATAATATTAGTCTCCTTTTTGATTGAGCAACGAACCTGTCCTCCACAGCTTGCAGTCGCAGCGCAAGTTGTTCCTTCTCCGCGACATGTTGCATGATGTCCCGCTGCAAGCTGTCAGCGTGCTGCCTCAGCTGTACGTTGTCTAGCTCCTTGTCCGACGTCTGCTTGTTGGCTTGGCTTAAATTGTTCCGGAGCTCTGTCACGTCTAGCTTAGCTTTCGCTAGCTCAAATGCCTGAAATATATCGTAAGTTACAACAATGCGAAATATGTAGGTACTAGTAAAATTTTTACGAGTTTTTTGGTAATCTCAATGTGTCATCCCCACCCCTAAAACGCCGGCAACACTATCATAACTCCTCTAGTATTGCGGGTATCCGTGAGTAACGCTGATTGCTTCCGTCTGTAGGTTTGAAGCGATATGTCAAAAAAAAAATCAGTTTAGATAAATGTTTGTAATCAGGATAAGTCTAATATAGGTTAATTTTACGTCATTTCTGAGTGATATTCTACATCTGCTACCGGCCTCAACTAGCCCTAATTTATTTATTGCCAAAAAGCAAGTGACACTAATATAATAATGAATCACATTGCCCTACTTTCCCACCGCCTACTCAACATGAAGTAAAATGATTAAATTCTCACCTTATCATTTAATTCTTTCTTGTTAAAGTCCAGCTCGTGCTGCAGAAGTGAGATTTGTTTCCGTATCTTGGTTAACTGCTTCGTGTCATTGCTGGCCTGTCGGTCCAGTGACTTCCTCTCATCTCCACTCTTATTCTTCGGCGAAGGACTCCTTGACACCATCTTCAGCTGTTCCTTTAACGAAGCGATCTCCTCATGGAACGCATTAATGTCTTCGTGTAGTATCTCTATCTCCGTTTCCTTGTCCTTCAACTTGTCAGTCAACAGCTTCAGTTCATCTATCTTCGTTGTCAACTCGTTGTTCAATGAATTCACTCTGGCTAGCTCACTCTCATTGCTCTGTAGTTTCATGGACGCATTCTCCTGTTCTTTCTCTAGTTTTGTCAATTTCAACTTTAAGTCTTTGTTGTGAGTGTTCAATTTATCATTCTCCTCATTTAGTTTTGATATGTCTCGGTGTAACGCGTCTACAGTGTCTTGTAAGTTGAACACTTCGTTGGATTTCTCTTCGAATGCCTCCTTGAGGTTGTCTAACTCTTCAGTTTTGTCATTAAGGCACCTTTGCAGGTCATCCAACCTGTCTAAATGTTGATTCAAACTATCGATCTGTTGGTTCTTCTCGGAAACAAGTTGCTGCAACTTCTGCAGTTCATTTACTTTATCATTTTCATATTTCTCTAAAGCGTTGTTCTTGCTCTGAAGTTCATCGATCTTAACTTCCAATTCAGTCATTCTGTTAGTCAAGGTACGCTTTTCCTTGGCGAGTTCTAGGATCATATTTTCTCGCCTTAGAATATCTTCTTTAAGTAAATGCAAGTCTTTAGATTTATCGTTGACTTCTTGCGTCAGTTCTCCAAGTCTCTGCTCGAGTAACTTTTTGTTTGACGAGAAATTGTCTAATTGATTTTCATAAAATTTCTTATCATGCTCCATAGTGGCCATGGTGTTTTCTAGAAGACCTTTCAGTTCTTCCACCTCCTCCTTCAAAGCGGGGAACTCACAGAGTTGTTCTTCTGCATTTTTCAGTTCCGACTTGCAATTATCTAACTCTGTCCTGGATTTCTTAATCTCATGTTTCAATTGGGTCAGTATGTCTGGGAAGTTTTCTTGTTTAACGTCTAACGTTATTCCTAACTCGCCTAACGAGGTGAAGTCATTATGCGTTTTATTGTCGGTAGTTTCCAGGGAGAAGTTAATTTTCTTCGGTTCGACGCTCAAGTCTTTACTGTCGTTGGCGTCTCTATTGGGGTACATTGAGCAATTGTCTTGTATGATTTGAGCATGTTTCATTTCAATGCCAAACATTGTAGTTTCGTTGACATTTCTCTTGTATTGTTTGAGTAGGTCCTTGTTCTGTGTGGACGTTAAGTGAGCTGGTAGTGAGTCAGCTCGTGGAGTGAAGCCAGGCAGGTCGAAGTGGTCGATGTATTCTAAGTTGAGGGAGCTCATGTTGGCTTTCTCTAGTTCAGGTGGTAATGTTCTGTTGAGAGTTCTTTCCTTCGTGGTGTCTGCGATGTGAGCGCCAGTGATGCTAGTGTTGTGTCCCTTGAGCTCCGCGCGACGCATCTGTAGATCTTGTTCATCGAACTCTGATATGGACACGATGTCACTCAAAGTTCGCGCGGAAGCTTTCCCTTCCAATACGTCGCCATTTTCCTCCTTTTGGTTGTCTTCGTCCAATTTTAGCGCTGTGGAGCGAGTAATGAATCATATTAAACTGCACAAGTTAGCTAGACGGATCTTTCACCGTCAACCCAAATAATTGCGAGGAAGTTGGAATAAATCCAAATCTACATATAATTAGTCTAGACTGATGTAAGTCCTAAAACAAACTGAAAAACATGAATCACTGGCGCGAAATTGAACTGTTTTGTGAACTGAAAACATGTTTATACTATCTTATTCTCAAGTTTCGCTAAACTGAATAAATAAACAGCGTTATGCATATATTAAAACGACTATTTATATGCGAACAAAAATAGACCAATATTGTTCCTGGTTCGCTAATGGATTTGCTCCATGTCCCCGATATAACTAATCTTTACGAGTATTTCGTCACGACTTGCGCGTCTGAGCGAACCTAAGCGGCTATAAAGCTAGTGGAAGTACTAATTTCAATTTGAACATTGGATACGAACATGAACATAGACATTCAACATGGTTATAGAACACCCAAGTACAAGCAGTACGTTAAAGATATGGGATTTTACTCTAACAAAGGTTCTAAACAATATCATATCAAAAGAATAATAATTTAACCCTTACATCTAGTTCTTACTAAAAGCTCAAAATAACTTACCGAGTAACTCTTGCAATTGGTCTTCTTTCTCTGCCAGCGCCCTCTGGTGGTCCCTGATGGCTGTGTGCAGTTGTTCCTTGTCCTTCTCCAAGCTCCTTGCGAGGCTCTCTAACTGACCTATCCGCGATTGAGCCGTGGAAAGCTCGCGTTCTAATATTATCACTTTATCTTTTGGATTACCTGGGGGAAAGACAACAGTTCTATTGAAAAAATGTGTAGGTATTTTAATATAATATCAAGCCTTTTATGTTGTTCTCCATGTTTTCCTACGTATGTAATAGAGGGTAATCTTATTGCCATACATCGGTTAGAGTTTCTCGAAAATCGAAAACCCTTCTTTGGTCAGACAAGAATGAGTTTCTGGCCTGAGGAGAAATGAAATCAATTTGAATCCCGTAGCTTGATATTAAGACAAACTTCTCGACTATCGACACAGATATCTTAAAATTACTCAGTACTATTTATGACAGTGTTTTTGAATCTGTCTAATACACGACTGTCGTTAACGTACACCATTAGAATGATTCTTCAAGGAGAAACTCATATGTTTATTTTGGCGCCATTTGACGCAAACACCACGTATCGATAGCATGGGTTAACAACATCCACGTTTATATTTTAACGGCAAAATTATTGCAACAAAACGGGTTCACCTCTTCCATGACCTGATTTCAAAAATTCATTACAAACAAGTAATTAAACAGTTTTCAGTTTTAACGGAGTATATTCCCTTCACGTATGTCGTAACAGGTTATTTTTTGTTCCAACAATGAATTGAAACCATGGAATCATGCGCTGGATGAGTTGAATCATCAATAAAAGTGTTATAGTCATCAATGACGCACTTTATTTTTCTCATTGGGAAAACTAGTAATAAAAAGATTCACTTCAACTAGTTTCTGAGCTCATAAGAAAACCAATATTATTTTTGTATGACATAAATTGTATGTGATAATTGTTTGAATAGATGTATGAATATTGTATCATCCTTCGCTGGTTGTCAAAAGAGAAGGTGGCAGTCCCTTCAGGCGTAGAAATAACGTGAAAAAGAACGGATAAGTAAAAGCACGTATGTGATAGAAATTAATAAAGTTTAGTATGTAAAAATCGTAGGTTTCTGACAACCCATTGATACAAAGACGGGACTTATGAGATTGTATTAGTATTTTTAATAAATGTAGTCTGTTACATAGACTACATTTATTAAAAATACTAATAAATAAATTACAAAGTTTTCGGAAGATTATATTCCTTTAGATTTTATGTCCCTAAAGAATATAAGAAACGTTGCCAATAATAACAGTAAAACTTACATGAGTTTCCGTACAAGGAGTGATGTTCATCATGAAGCTTCTCCCGCTCCTCCAAGGTCTGCTTGACTCGCAATAGTTGTTTATCTTTAGACTCCAACTCTTCCTTCAACCTTTGAACCTGTTAAATAATAGCATAACATTCATATTGATCTAATTCATCAAAACATTTTATTTATGTGTTTGCAACAATGCAGATTGAATAAAATACATAACATAATACACGCCTTTTATCCCCGAAGGGGTAGGCAGAGGTGAACATTACGGCACTTAATGCCACTGTACAATGTAACAACCACTTTTCACTATTTTAAGTTATGTGTCCCATTTAATAGGGGGTGAGCCTATTGCCATATACCGGGCACATTTCCAGACTCCGTGCTACTACTGAGATTTTTTGAAAAAACCCAGTTTCACTTTGCTCGACCATAAATAATTATTATGTTATATAACCAAAAATATTGTAGAAATGAATTCATTCATTACATAGTTAATTATACAGAGTTTTTGAAGCATGAACTTACACAATGTTCTCAGTGAGTTGAGAGGGTTTTTAGCTACGTATTATCGACATACCGGAGGGCGCAATGCAAGACTTTTTACGTTAAAGCGATCGAAACTTTACCGCGTTTACCCCTTTGATTGGTTGGTTAGTTGAAGCAGGGCAATCAGAGTGCCGAACGTCAGAATAGGGATGATGACAGGGTATGAAAATTAAAAGTCTAATTAGTCCGTCAGTTAGGTAATGAAAAAAATATTAGACACGTATTTTTTTTATTTTGTCGTATAAGAAAACAATACTTAGATAAAACGAATCAAAGTTTTTAATTGGGAGGTAGCTACGTCATTTTAGAGTATAAATCGTACTCAAAAGTGATGTATGTCATGCGATATTTCAAATCAATATATCTTTGAAATTATTCGTTTCCGTAAAAAAATAAATAATACGTGTTTAATGTTTTTAAATAATCTACCAGACGAACATTAAAATAAAAATTGGGCATCTACTCTATTGTGTCGATTTCGCACTAGGCCTTAAGATGTACACATGTACACATGTATATAGATGTATTACGAAATACACGACAGTAACTAGTGTTGTTATATATGTATATAGCTTACCTCAGCGAGTGCGTCATGTAGCTGCACGGAGAGTTGGCTGGTGGCCTGGTGGGACAGTGCCTCCGCGTCATTGCGCTGCTGCTGCAGGCGCGCCGACAGGGACGAGATCTTCAGCGCCTGCTCCGACATACGCGCCTGCAGGACATCGCGTTCCGCGCGCACCTCCTGACAAACATACATTATCTGTTAGTGGAGATGTTAGTTGTTAATGGTGATACTACAGTAATGTAATATTAATATGAATGCTTATATATTGCACCTTGTACAAGTAGGTAATATACACATCAATAATGGCTATGGATATCGCATTTGTTACTAAATTATATTTATGGCTTACGCACGTCTGTTCATTCTCATGAATATGTGCCCCTAACGTGGCTTGAAACTATTTGAGTTACGTCGTCAATCAGTACTTAAATCGTAATTAATCCTTAAATACAATAATTTATATCAAGAAGTCCCTCGTCGCGGCTCTTTGTATGTGTGAACGCTGTAAACTCAACAATATGTATACCGTACTACATGTCCATAAATAGACAAAACTAACCACAAATACATTATCCACCATTACAGTAACAACTCAATGTGTCAAGCATTAGTATAACGACTTACAGCGTCATGTTGCTACTGACATTTTGCAGTAGGAAGTAAAGTTGCAAGGAGCACAGTTGCACCTGGTAGACCAACGAAGCGACAAAATAAACGTCAGTCGCGATCGCAACAAAGTTCAGCGTACATTAGTCATCAAGTTCTATATATACACGACACAGTTCTAACGCACGAAATAGGTCTGCAAAGATCATTAGGTCGGCTTAATCAATGGATGACCCCAATTGTGCTGTTTAAATTCGCGATTAGTGAATATTTTGGTTGGACATAATAACTTTTGCTACTGAATTCCAGTAAGTTTATATATTTTTGTGTAAAAGTCGAGCAAACGAGGTCACGGATCACTTAGTTAGTGGTAAGAAACCAGCGCTGCCCAAAGACACCTACACCTCTGGGAACCCTAAGATTGTATTAAAAGGTGGCCTTCAATAAAAAGTTAAATGATTGCCGTGTATAACTAAAACCGTTAATAAGTACGATGATGAACTATAATTTTATTTAAAGCTGTTCGTAAAATTTCCATAATCAATAGATGAAATACCGGAAGATACACGTATAAAGTGAATCAAATATGTAAGTTATAAACAGATACTTTATTAGAAATAACATAAGCGGTACTAGAAAGCTTTTGTTTCGTTACTCTTTTGTTATTAAAAGTAAACCCACTGCTAAGTTCAATGACCCATTATTACATTTTTAAACGAAGGCACTTAAGCTTCCAACACTTTTCTCGGTTAAATTATGTGACTTTTATCGAGTAAAGTATTTTTTGTTTGCAACTCAAACGATATTTGTTTTGATACTCCTCGTGTTGATTTAATTTTAGCCGTGTTCTCTGAAATATTTGCTCTTGGGTAGATAAGCTTCGGTGGCGCCAAATAGATGTATGCGAAACGAATCTTAGCTTTAGTTTATTATTGTGTCGTAGCGGCTATAGACTATAATTTTATTGTAGTACCTATTTTATTGACAAAGTTAAATATAATATTATATCAAATATAGCCGTATGGAGTAATGGGTGGGGGGGGGGCATATATTCAGCAGTGGATGTCTTGTGGCTGATAAGTTGGTGATAATAATTACTGGCTCCATCCAAAGGTTGTTTGTAAGAAAACCATCAGGACCCTTGTATACATTTTATTTTGATATTATTTCTTTATGGTTTTGGTGTGTAAAAGTGTGAATAAATAAATAATTACCATACTTAGCTATATTTTACAGTTTACGGTTGACGTCTGCTACTGTATCAATTAAGTAAATAAGTAATTACTCTTTTTTCCTTAAACGAGCTTCAATTAAGCTACTATTACATTGTGAAACCTCCAATAAAACATGCTAGCACACAACAATAATGTTATAATGTTACCAAAGTCAATTGATGCAATAATAAAATTGACAAACGATCGTATCGCAGACACAGTCCAGGCAGATTGAACAATTTAGCATATTGTAAAGTCCTATAAGTACGTGTCGTCAATTCGCTTACGACTATTATTTATTTATGTATTTACATATATTCAGCTTTATTCCTGTTGATATAAAGTCGAATATGTATTGAAGAGAACTATAGGATTGGGATAGTTAAATATTATGATGGTACGTGGTTTTGTACAAAATAGTTCCCGTAACAAACTTGACGTGTGTAAGTTTACAAGTTGTATCTGCAAGTAATCTATTGTTCTATCGCCATTGGGACTTTTTAAGGGGGGAAATCATCGAATGACCCAGGCGGGAGGGAGTGTCAGACTATTACTGACTAAAAACCACCCCGTTCCTACGCCTGCCGTTAAGTCCTCCGCGGCATTGAGACTTAGTATAGAGGCCGGGTAAAAGGGTAAAAGATACATATACTTTGAACATAGTCTTTACTGTATGAAAGTCCCATACTCATCTTTATCAAGGACTCTCTACAAAACAAACATCAACAAATCAATAGCAAAGCTCATTCACAAAAGCCTTGAACGAAATGTCACTTCATACAAGCGACTGGCTACTGGCAATGACTTACTAACATACTCATAACATTATATTTCTGTTATAGTTTTCCACAAGCTTCCCCGTTTCCCGATGTCACTGCGAGTGCGTCGTATAAAACGACCGTGATGCGCAGTTGGCAGCAGCTGAACAATGATTGTATTTACAAGACGTTTGAGTTGTCTGTTGATTGTGTTAAATAACAATGAAGTAATATTTGCGTGTACTAGTAAGTACAGTAGTATCATTATTACTACTCGAAGTCGGTTCTGAAGTATTCAACTGGTTGCTAAATTGCAGGCTCATGTCAAAATACAAAACAATTTATTTATTCATTTCATAAAAGTACCTGTCTACTGAAAAGCCTAAAATCCTCAAATGTCAATCTATTCATCATATCAAATCATAATCAAATTGCTTAAAGTTATACAAATAATTTATTTCCAAAGTGCATCCGATGATATTTAGATACTGCAAATAAATCTTCTCATCTACAATAATTCTATCAACGCACTTTAACGATTTATGAGACTGAATTAAAATACATGTTAAGAAAATCTTTTGAATTTAAAATAGTGTATAATTTGGACACTCACCGTAAGATCCGGCAACCCCATCCTAACGTATTTCCTAAAGTAACTCCAAACAAACATCACACACGAATCACTACATTGACGCTATGTCGCGACACTACACTGCTATCACGTTACATTGCTGGCTGAGTACATTGTTACACATCACATGTTTGATGGGGATATGCAATGGATGGCGTGCGTTGATGGTTGATCGGGGGTGAAGGAGAGACCTTACGGCAGCAGAACACGCTCTGAAGCATCGGGAGAGACTGAACTCAGACGCTACGGTGCGCGGGTGGAACGAGACGCTCGCCGGATCGCCGATATTTTGGATACGACTCTATGTTCATCTCAATCGTAACGTTTGTAGTGAGCTTTGATTCAATATTCGCATACAAATTAACAAATTGAAAATTATTTGACATCGAATTTTAAAGTAATTGTACCTCTAGAAATAACAAAAAGTATGCGTCAAACGATGTAGATCACAAGTAATACAATAAGTAATGCAACACTGTAATAATATAAATTACCACAAATTTTGATTTAGCGTAGGTACATTACTTATTAACACAATAGTAGGTTAAGAACGAACTATAATAATCTCCTATTCGATAATACCGCATCCACATATTTTCCTCTTATAGTTCCCTCCCGTACCTATATTTAACACACACGAGCGCGTCAGTCGTGTGCGTGCGCGTACAACACGTAGGGTTGCCAGCTATTCCTGTCCACTGTTTATCTTCCTGCTTGTGTAACAGAGGGTTAATCGCAACCCAGTAAATGGGTTACAACGGTTACGAGCAAGCATTGTTTAACAACATCAGCCGGTTTTATCACTAATGTAGAAAATAGAAGGTTGAGTTTCCAACAAGGTTATTTTCGGAACTAAGTTGATTTAGCGTTGGGTTACAGCCGCCTCCTTGCACTTATGAAAAACGAGGCGTTAAGTGGTTTAAATGTGTGGCATGTTGCCAAACTTTTTATCCATTTTTCTTTGACAAATTGAGGAAGCGAAAGTGTACTTTGCTCCTTTGGCAAAATATGTAAAAATTCATTAGTGTTAATTTGTAAACAATAAAATATTATAATATGTGTAATATATTGGCAGCCCTGTGATAATAGTCAATAAAACCTCATAATACAAATTGAGAGAGCGGAGAGAGTTCATCCCGCATATTAGGGTCGGGTACATTATTGCGAATAACACGCGCCTGTGTCCGTGACTGTACTACGGTGACTAATTGACGAGTAGGCAGGTCCGGGAATACCGTGGGTTGGGTAAGGTCAATACATGGGGAAAGAAATAGACTCAACGCCTACGTACTAAGAAAAATATGATTGCAACAAGCAAATTACAATCTATTTTCTTACACCTCAAAGAGAGCATAATTTCCAGAATATCCACAATGCATTTCCGTCCAAACGAGGCCGAGCCATTAGCACTCAGTGTTATAGTGAAAATACGTGTTTAATCCATTAAATCGTAGTGCCTCGATGCCAGGAACTGGGCTAACTGTTGCAATACGGCGTGAAGCCGGTGCGAGCAAACTTTGATGTATCGGTCGCAAATCTAAGCCTCAATCAAAACAAACGGACGCCCGAGTAAACAGTACATGTGTGTGTCGGATTATTGTTCTTAGATATAGGGAAAATACGCAAATTCCTCTGGTTGGGCGTATACAATAGTTTGAGAAGCTTATTATGAAAAACTATCTGCTGTTTATTGCTAGATTTCAAGAGGGGAAATACTGTTCAATGTTACAAGTTCAGTCAAAAATACTAAACAAGTTAGATTACTGCAAAAACAATTCTACGATCTGCAGAACATCAGAATTCAATGTAATCCCAAACTTTTGTACATAAAACATCCGGCTGGAAACCAGCATGTTTCTAACTTCATAATATGTCGGCTGCTAGATTGTAAATCAAACAACTATTAAAAGAGAACACTTATCATTGAACTTGGGTGTTATTTTTAAAGAATCTCTGATGATCATCACT